CCCACGTTCCTCCCCTGACCCCCCCCCCCCCCTTCCCCACCCTCCAATTGCAGCACCAACCTGTCGCGCGGCGCGCCCAGCGTGCACGAGCGTGGCCTGCTGTGGAAGATGTGCCGGGCCAGCATGACCATTGTGGGCCTTGTCCCGCCCGTCTTCCACGCCGGCGACCTGCTGGTGGACGGCGGCTACCTGAACAACATCCCCGTGGACGTTATGCACGGGCTGGGCGTGGGCACGGTCATTGTGGTGGACGTGGAGGACCGGGACCAGTCGGCGTGGCACAACCTCACGCCCTACGACGGCGGCGTGTCCGGCTGGCAGCTGCTCTGGGACCGGTGGTGCCCCGTGGAGGCCTGGCGCTACAATGTGCGCATCCCGCGCTACAGCCAGCTCATGAACTCGCTGACCTGGATGAGCCACCAGCAGACGCTGCGCCGCGTGAGCCAGGAGTACGTCATCGACCTCTACCTCCGGCCCCCCGTCTTCCACTACCGCCTCATGGACTACTACCTGGCGGAGCGGATCGTGCGCGAGGCCAGCCAGTACGCCTGGGTGGTGGTCTCCGAGTGGCAGGCCAAGATCGGCATCCACCGGACCGGGCTGGCAGGCCTGCTCCACGCCGACAGCGCCGGGTTCCCGAGGTGGGTGGTGGGTGTGTTTGTGTGCTTGCAGGGGTGGGGCAGAAGTGGGTGTCCTGCTGCCCGGACCCCTCGGGCAAAGTGCTGGCGCCTCACCCCTGTGGAGAACCACGTGCTAGCTGGGCCCAAGGGGGGGGGGAAGGGCCGCCGATTGAGGCCGCAGCTCGGCGACGCTGCGCCATCAGGGGGGCACCACCCACCCCAGACTCCACCTGGCCGATCACCACCACTACACCGCAGGACGCCCAGCTCCCTCACGCTGGTGGACCGGTCGCGCAGCTCGGCGTGCATGACGCAGCTGCAGGGGAAGCAGCGGGGCCGGGTCGCCTTTGGACCCCGGAACGCATCGCTGGAGCTGCCGCGCGGGTAGGCTGCTAGTCTTTCTTGAAATTGTGGTGGAGGGCGATTCATATGCAGGCGGGCCTATGTTTGCACCGTTTGCTTGACACTGCGTGTCCTTCCTCGAGGCTTCTCATCTGGTGTGCTGCCCGGATACGTGAGGTTGACCTCCTTCTCCCCCCCTCTTACGCGCGCACACACAGCCTGTCGAAGAGCTTGGAGGAGCAGCCGGCGCACCTGCTCGGCCCGCTGGGGCCCGACACACTGCACACGTACCAGTCGCTGCCGCTGGCGCTGCAGGGTCGCGGCGGGCGGAGGAGGGCGCGGCGCGCGGACGCCGTGCAGGGGTCCGGCAGCGTTGCCGGGTTTGCCACCATGCCGCCACCCGCCACCGACCACCTGCCGACGCTGTCGCGCATGGCGGGCAAGCGCGGCGGGGCGGAGGAGGGGGGGGAGGGCGCGTGGGGCGCGGACCCCGAGGGCGAGATCCTGTTCCCCATCAGCGACGTGGGGGAGGAGTTTGGGTCGCCGGGGGCGAGCTTGGGGAGCGGCGCTTAGCGCCCCCGCCTCACCACCACCCCTTGAATGCCTTTTAATCCAGACTGCAGGATCAAGAGCACTGTTTGGCCCCCCCCCAGCCCTCTTTTTTGACTTGCGCGCTGGTAAATGAACGCATAAAGTACGAGCTTGCCCCAGGGGCTGTCAATAAATCTCACCCCCAGCCGCCTCGTAGTTGTCAAGGCACTGTGTAGGGAGCAGGGAGCACACAGGGACCAGGGCAAAGGCCGGCTCGGGGGCGGTCAGCACCCCACGCCACTCCTCCGGCTCAAAATCCGTCCTCGTCAGCGTGGCAGAGAACACCTGCAGGGAGCGTGTTGAGATTGGGTAGGGAAAAGAGAGTGAGCGCTGCACGATGAGCAGGGGGGGGTGGGGGGGGGCTTCGGTGGGCATGGACCCCCGAACCAGCGCTTCACACACAGGGTCTGTACTGTGGCAGCGCCCATTTCGCCTTCCAAACCCAGTCGATGCTCCTCCAGCAACCTCGCAACCCACTCACGCCGTGCGCATCCACGATCTGAGCCGGGGGCGCGCGAGCCACGGCCGCCCAGTGCCCCTGCGGCAGCTTGTGCAGCCTGAAGGCCCAGTCCTCCCGCTCCGCGCCAGACAGGCAGAGGGACGCGCAGCTCGAGTCGGGGGATATGCTGAAGGATGCCTTGCCCAGTGGCGCCGCCAGCCCCAGCCCCAGAGCCTTGGAGTATGCCTGCAGTGGGAGGTACTGCTTTGGGCACTCAACGGCACCCATGTACAGGCACGGCCCATAACAAACATCGCCAGCCCATGCTCATGCTTCACACCTCCTTCAGGCTCCAGAGTCGCTGGAACTGGGCCTCCATCGCCGCCTCGTCGGGCTGCAGGGCCATGATGCTGTCCCACTGCCGACATCGTGAGAGATGAGCTGGGATGAAAGCCTGATTGAGTCAAACAAAAAAGAATTAAAAGTCGCAGCCCCCGTCAACCTACCTCTGGTGGGGTGAGCTGAGCCCGGAAGCTCTTCAGGAAGTCCAGCATGGCTTGGGGCTGGCCGGGCCGATGTGCGCGGGGTGCTGTGACATCACAGCCCACCACAGCAGGGGATTCGCTGCAAAGAATCACGTAGCGGCCCTATCAGGGGGAGCAACTGGCCAAGGCTGGGTCAGGGCAGCCTTACTTCCGCTGTTGACCACCACTAGCACCATTGGTTAGTCAGTGGACCAACAGGCAGCACCTGCATGCCACTCTGCTGCACCGCAACCACATACGTCCCCCCCACCCACCTCGTGGGACACGCTGTAGTTCCAGTTCAAGGGTGCTGCGTCGGGCCTAGGATTCTTGACAAAGGGCTTTCCCCCCTTGGTGCGTGTCGTGGCTAACTGGTGAAAGTCAAGCCCCAGGCAAACTGCCGCTGCATGCCGTTGCAACAAGCGACTAATGATCGCGCGCTTTTTGTCATCGTCCCGCCGAAATGCCATGCATGCCGCTCGTTCCTCGCTGCTGAATAAAGACAGGAGAAAGTCAAGCTCTGTGGGCTCCGGCTCCCAGGCTCCAGCGTCCACCGCCACCCGCAGGCGGGAGGCCGCCATGCTCAAGCCTGGTTTTCCAGCTTTTAATGCCGATGCTCCCCCGAATACAGTGCTCTGAGGGTCAGAGCCTCGCCCGACGACCAAGCGTGGTGCAGCTGGGGTCGTGGGTTTTGAGCAGGACCGGGTCGGGCGCACACGTGCGTGTCCCTGGCCCCGGCGGCAGAATCACTGGAGCGACAAGCAGCTTAAAAATCCTGGGCCCCACAGGAATCTTCCCTCCCCCCTTCCTTTCCTCCAACCCCCGTCCACCCAGCACCATGGCATCCACGGCCCATCTCAGCGTCGAGAAGACGGCCGCAGGCCGCGAGGTGCGTAGATCGCTGCGGCTGGTGCACCAAGGCGGGGCCACGATCGCATGACCTGGGGGCCTCGGCCCGCTTGCATCGAGTTTGATCTTATCTTTCTGCACTGCTGCCATACTGGGACGGTGCTGTGGTCCGTGCTGGGCCTGGGGTCTCACCATTGTGTGGGCCACTGGTGCCCACCCCCTCTCGCCCCGCTGTCCCACGTCGTCCCCTTCACCCACTCCCTACCTCTCACCGTATTCCTGCAGTTCAAGGTCAAGGACATGAGCCAGGCTGACTTCGGTCGCCTGGAGATCGAGCTGGCCGAGGCCGAGATGCCCGGGCTGATCGCTTGCCGCGCGGAGTTCGGTCCCAGCCAGCCCTTCAAGGGCTGCCGCATCACCGGCTCCCTGCACATGACCATCCAGACCGCGGTCCTGATTGAGACCCTGACCGCCCTGGGCGCGGAGGTCCGGTGGTGTTCCTGCAACATCTTCTCCACCCAGGACCACGCCGCGGCGGCGGTGGCTCGCGACTCTGCGGCGGTCTTCGCCTGGAAGGGCGAGACCCTGGAGGAGTACTGGTGGTGCACGGAGCGCGCCCTGGTCTGGGCCGACGGCGAGGGCTCCGACCTGCTGGTTGACGACGGCGGCGACGCCACGCTGCTGATCCACGAGGGCGTGAAGGCGGAGGCGGCCTACGCCAAGGACGGCACCCTGCCCGACCCCACCTCCACCACCAACCCCGAGTTCCAGATCGTGCTGCGCGTGATCCGCGACGGATTGGCCACCAGCCCCGGGCGCTGGACCGCCATGGCCAAGCGCATGCGCGGCGTGTCGGAGGAGACCACCACCGGCGTCAAGCGCCTGTACGAGATGACGGCGGCGGGCACGCTGCTCTTCCCTGCCATCAACGTCAACGACTCGGTGACCAAGTCCAAGTTTGACAACGTGTACGGCTGCCGCCACTCCCTGCCCGACGGCATCATGCGCGCCACCGACGTCATGCTGGCGGGCAAGGTGGCCTTCATCGCCGGCTACGGCGACGTGGGCAAGGGCTGCGCCAGCGCCATGAAGGCCGCGGGCGCGCGCGTGATTGTGGCGGAGATCGACCCCATCTGCGCGCTCCAGGCCACTATGGAGGGGTACCAGGTGCAGCCCCTGGAGGACTGCCTGTCCACCGCCGACATCTTTGTGACCACCACGGGGAACAAGGACATCATCATGGCCCGCCACATGGCCGCCATGAAGAACAATGCCATCGTGGGCAACATTGGGCACTTTGACAACGAGATCGACATGGCCGGCCTGCTGGAGAACCCGGGCATCACGCGCCAGACCATCAAGCCCCAGGTCGACCGCTTCATCTTCCCCGACGGCCACGGCGTCATCGTGCTGGCGGAGGGCCGCCTGCTCAACCTGGGCTGCGCCACGGGGCACCCCTCATTCGTCATGTCCTGCTCCTTCACCAACCAGGTCATCGCCCAGGTGGAGCTCTGGACCGAGCGCGACTCGGGTAAGTACGAGAACAAGGTGTACGTGCTGCCCAAGAACCTGGACGAGAAGGTGGCCGCCCTGCACCTGCCCAAGCTGGGCGCCAAGCTCACGCGCCTGACGCCGGAGCAGGCCGCCTACATCAACGTCAACCCCGATGGACCCTACAAGCCCGCCCTCTACCGCTACTGAGCGTGGAGAGGGCTGGGGTCTGGGGTGGCGGCAGCGGACAGGCCCCGGCCTCGTCCGCAGGCCCCCCGTTGCTCAGTGACGGGGCTGCATGCCAACTCTCCCCCCTCCTTTTCTCACGTGCACGTGCCTCTGCGCCTCTGTCCACGAGTCGCCATGCTGCGCCCCTCCCTTTCCCAGGCCCTGAGTCTCTCAGGGTCGTGTGATGCACTCCCATCGCCAGTCGACACATTGGGGGCAGACAGTGCATTTTCGGACAGGAGGTGGCATGGTTGGAGCGTCTTACATGAGGCAGCATGCGGTAGGTGGGGGGGGCAGTGCGACGCAACGGGAGTGCCCTCACAGCACCTCGTCCGCCTTCAAAGCAGGCGGGTGAGCTGGCCGCCCAGGCTGACGGCATCGCGCAGGATCAAAAACATGCCCAGGGAGGTGAGGAGCAGCAGGCCAGACGCCATCACCGTCTTCTCCACCGTCTCGTCCAGCTTCCGGCCGCGCACCGCCTCCAGGATGAGGAACACCAGGTAGCCGCCGTCGAGCGCGGGCAGCGGCAGCGAGTTGACGATGGCCAGGTTCAGGTTGATCAGCGCCGCGAACTGGAACAGGCCGGCGGAGTCGTTGCGCGCCACGTCGGCGCCCACCCTCAGAATGCCCAGCGGCCCAGACACGGCCTTGGAGGTGCGCTGGAAGTTGGTAGCCAGCTGGGACAGGCCTGTGTGGGGGGGGTGAGGGTGGGGGGGTGGGGTTGGGGTTGGGGTTGGGGTTGGGGGGTTGGGGTTGGAGTTGGGGGTGGGGGGTTGGGTTGGGGGTGGCGTGGAGCGAGGGGTTGGTGGCTTGTGCAGGACCTTGGGATCAGGGTTGGACACACGCTTCAATGTACGGACTCGTTGGGAGACCATGAAGAGCACGCTCGAGGTGGATGCCTCGGCCCCCGATATTATCCTTTCAAGTCCCAGCATGGGTGCTGCGGTTGCCTCCCGACAGCTGCATACCACGCATGTGTCCCGACGTCCGGGCCCCCCCACAGCCCACGCACCCTTCCAGATGACCCCGGCCAGGCGCGCAGTCTGGCTGGCGCCCAAGCGCAGCGCCGTCACCGGGTCTGAGGCCTTGGTGCGCCGCAGCACGACGTTGGGCGCCAGGGCCACGCCGATGCGACCCCGGCCATCAGGCTGCTCGGCGGGGGCCACCGCCAGGGACAGCGGCTCGCCCCCTCGCACGACGTCCAGCGCCAGCTGGCGCCCGGGGTTCTCACTGCAGCAGGGATGGGGAGTGGGGTGGAGGGTGTGAGCTCCAAGGGCTGATTGCTGGTGACACGATGGCCAACTCCGCAGCAGGCGGGGCGCGAGGCGACAGGCCTGCCACAATCTCAAAACACACATGTGGATTCCTCATCGAAACCACGTCCTTCCCTGCCCATGCACCTGCCGGCATGGGCGGCAGCCAGCATGCTGTCCCCCTCCCACCCCTTTCCTAGAAGAGCCAGAGTCACCCCCTCTCCCTCGCTGCACCTGATCAGGTCCACCACCTCGCTCAGGCTGGACTCGGAGGAGGGCACCGTCAGCGGCCCCACCCTGGTCAGCAGGTCCCCACGCTGCAAGCCGGCCCGCTCGCCAATGGCGCCGCGCTGCACCTCCCCCACCAGCACGCCCGGCGAGTAGATGGGCTCCACCGTGCCCACCGTCAATGCCTGCGGAGGAATTACACAATAGGGGTACTTGATTTGCTGGGGGCTGGACAGGACAACAGGCATTCACACATGTCATGCTTGTTTTGCGAGCGCCAGGCAAGTCGCCTGCTTGCATGCCGCCCGGCACCGCGACCCCACCCAGCCCTGCTCTCCTGCTGCCTCATTCACACCAGAAACAAACCTGGGCCGTGCAGATGGAGGCCGCCAGCAGGACGTTGAACACCACTCCAGCAATGACTACGCGCACCCTGTCGGCAACTGGTCGGTTCCGCAGCAGGTCTGGGTCGTCTGCAGCGGACGAGGCAGTGTGTGTGTGTGTGCTGCTGTATGTGTACCGAAGGGCGTAGTAAAGAAATCGGCCCCCTCAGGAGTGCCATGCGTGCAGCAGGCGCCCCTCGAGCCACATTGCCAATGGATCCTCAAGCTCTACATGCCTGCATGCAGATGATCCCCCCCTCAGGTTGACAACACACCACCATCCAGATGCCAAGCCCCCATCCTCAATCCACCCACCCTTGGGGATGGTGGAGTTTGGGTCGTCGTCCGGGAACCCCACATAGCCTCCCAGCGGCAGTGCCCTGAGGGCATACTCCACCTCGCCCCGTTGGACGCGGACCAGGGCTGGGCCGAAGCCGATGGAGAACTTGGAGACGTGGATGCCCTGAGATCGTGCGGCGATGAAGTGGCCCAGCTCGTGGAAGCCCACCGTCGCACCCAGTACCAGCACCGCCTCCAGCACCGAGCCGGCGCCCGCCAGGTCCAGCCCCGAAACTGGGCCTGTGGGTGGGGTGGAGGGGAGGGTCGGGAATGGGAACAGGGCAGGAGCGAGGATCTGGGTCAGGGGAGACGGCATCTACTGCTGGGTATGTGATGCATGGTATTCCAGAATGCTGGGAGATGCTGGGTCAGAGTTGCTCACCGAGGATGCCAGCGCTCAGTGCAGCAAAGGAGCCCAGGGCCAAGGGCAAGCTTGGGAGTCCCGTCCTGGTCGGCTTTGAAGATACATGTGTATCTGGATTAAAAGCCTTGTGATCACTGCTCAGCGCCGGCATGGGGTGCTCCTGTGGCGCAGGCCGAGCTTCAGGCCGGGAGTCATTGGAACCTCTGGTGGCGAAGCACACGCGATGCGTCTGGTGTCGTCGCAGCGGCAGGCCGCTCTTGAATGCCCATGTGCCGTGCCTAGTACCACGAAGCGAGAAAGGGCATGCTAAAAGGGGGTGCTGCGAAGGAACGGTGGTGACGACATGGCTCATGGTGAACAGCCTGCAAGGGAGCCCGTGAAGTGGTCAAGAGCGATGGGGCACCAGGTGCACACTCGATGTAGGGATTGTACTGGAATGTGAAGGTACCAAAGTGCGTGAGAAGAAGTGGGAGGTGCATGCAAGCTTGTCTGCACCTTGCATGCTGCGTGGGAGGTGAGGCCGAAATGACGATTGGTGGGGGACAGCTCTCAACAGCGATGCACGGTCTTCGCCATGCGCCGTGATGCCGACACCTGCGACGACCAAATTTGTTCTTTAAATGTGCACATTCGAAAGCCGGGATTGCATTTCCCTCCAGCCCGGTCTGGCGCCACGGCTTCAGCGTTCGAAAGATCACTTATCGGCACACTGCGGGAGGCACGGCTGATCCCCCGCCTGGCGTCGACATTGCTGCGATCTCGATCCACAGCTACCCTGAGGCCTGGAGTATTGCCCAGTACTGGTGGGCCGGGCGTCACACCTCGTCGCTGGCCGGAGGGGCTGCGACTGCACTCTATTTGCCGCCCACCTCTGCCCGCCATGGCATCGTCGCGACAGCGTGACATATCCTCCTTCTTTGGGGGCGCACGTGTGAAGCCAGCCGCTGTGTCGCTGGCGGCCACGTCACCTGTTCGGCAGGCGTCATCTGAGCCCAAGCCAGAGCCTTGCGCCGAGGCTGATGAGGGCAGCCCCAGCCCAGCAGCAGCAGCTGCCAAGTTTGCAAAGGTACCAGTGCAGGGGCAACGCACTGTGGAAGTGGAAATCAGAGCGTAAGAAGGGTTGTTCTCACAGAGTGTCGCCGGAGCATTGCATCCCTGGTTTCCGGAGATCAGTGTTCACATCACTGTTGCTGCGCCAGGAGGCTGTGAAGGAGGAAGAGGAGTACAAGCCGACTGCCAGTGGCAGCAGCAGCAGTGGAGGGGCAAGCCTGGCCGGAGAGGAGTCTGCTGGTGACGATGAGGTCGTCGGCCCTCCTGCCAAGAAGAAGGCAAAGAAGTCGCCACTCAAGGGCTCTCAGGTCAAGGTGAGGGGGCCAATTCTTCACACAGTACCAATGGGCTGTGGTGCTGCAGTGGCAAGTGCTTTGGTCTAGAGACCTCTGCTTGCAAGTCTTACAGGCCGGGCGCGCCTCACGTAGCTTCTGACTGTATCCCGCGGCCTGCCAGGTGGAAGGTGTGGGCTTGGGCTCCATCAAGGCTGCCGCCGAGCATGCCGACTTTGATCTGTCCAAGGTCATTACTTGGACCCTCGGCAGCCCGGTGCCCTTTGGCTTCCTGGCCGACACCTTTGAGGCCATCGCGGAGGAGAGCAAGGTGCGCGATGGTAGGGGCCCAGGGCAGAACATTCATTAGGGCGAACACGTAGCGGCATGCGGGATCCTATCGTCCATCCCCTCTCAGCTTGCGACATCGACAATGAAAACTGCCGTGTCATCAGCTCATCCGTGACGGGGCATCTCTGCAATCGCCACTATCGACCCACCGCTTCACCTGGGTTGCCCCCCCCCCACCCACTGCAGCGTCTGGTGATCACGCGCATCCTGATCGGCGCCTTCAGGGCGGTCATCGCCAGCACCCCCGCCGATCTCCTGCCCATGATCTACCTGTGCACCAACCGGGTGGCCCCGGCGCATGTGGGCCTGGAGCTGGGCATCGGCGACGCGACATTGATCAAGGTCTGTTGTGGAGGTGAACAGGTGGGAGGGTGCTGCACGTGGCAATCAGGGCAGGATTCAGAGGAGGCATGCATGGCCCCCCGCTTCTCCCTACGTGGATGACCTGGAGCAGCAGGCACATCCCCACGCCTTGTGTCCCTCCCCCCTGCCCCCAGGCGCTGGCGCAGGTGACGGGGAAGAAGGAGGCGGCGGTGCGGGCCGAGTACGGCCAGTGCGGCGATCTGGGCGCGGTGGCGGCCGCAGCGCGCGGCCTGCAGAAGACCATGTTCCCGCCGCCGCGGCTGACGGTGCCGGGCGTGCTCCGCGCCTTCCGTGACGTGGCTGCTGCGGAGGGCTCTGGCAGCCAGGACCGCAAGAAGGCCATGATCGTGAAGCTGCTGGTGGCGGCGCGCGACAACGAGGCCGGGTACGTCATGCGCGCGCTGCAGGGCAAGCTGCGCATCGGCCTGGCCGAGCAGACCGTGCTGGTCGCGCTGGCGCACGCCGCCGTGCTTTCCTCCGTAGGGGACGAGACTGCGGGCGGGGCAGCGGCGGCGGCCGGGCCCGCTCCCCCCGCCGCCTCGCACGAGGCGCTGGCGGGGCGGCTGGAGGAGGCGGCTCGCGCGGTGAAGCTGGCCTACTCCCAGTGCCCCAGCTACGACGACCTGGTGCCGGCGCTGCTGGCGCATGGCCCGCTGCGCCTGCCCGACCACGTCCACTTCCGGCCGGGCGTGCCGGTGAAGCCTATGCTGGCCAAGCCCGCCAACGGCGTGTCGGAGGTGCTAGACAAGTTCACCGACGCGCCCTTCACCTGCGAGTACAAGTACGACGGCGAGCGCGCACAGATCCACTTCACCGAGGACGGCACGGTGAAGGTGTGTTGGAGGTGGCCGTGAGGGGGAGTGGTGGTGAGGGGTGTTGGGTGAAGAGAGGAGCTCGAGCATGGGAGGGACGAGGTGTTGGCAGTGTGGCCATGCGGAGCGGATCTGGCTTGTGCATCATGCATAGGTGCGCAGGGGGGGTCCATGCCAGCCGAGCACTGAGAGTATGCGTGGGAAACAGAGTCGCTGCAAATGCAGGGGATGGGAGGCTAACGAGGGAGGAGCACGTTGCTGGCCAGTCTCCCGGACCCTCTCCACCCAAACCCCCATCCCAACATCACACACAGATCTACTCGAGGAACTCGGAGGACAACACCGGCAAGTACCCGGACATCGCAGCCCTGCTGCCGCGCATGATCAAGCCCGGGGTCAAGTCAGCGGTGCTGGATGCCGAGGCCGTCGCCTACGACCGCGTGGAGAAGCGTGTGCTCCCATTCCAGGTGGGGTGGGGTTGTGGTTTCATGGACAACGGTGGGTTTTGACTGGCGCTGCACGGTTTTATGGTGTTTGTGGTGGGAGTCGGACCCACGGTGTGGAGTCCCAATTTCCCCACCACATCCCGTACGACCAGCCTTCCACTCCTTGCATTGTGCACGGTGAGCTTGGCCACCGGCTTCGCACCCCCCACCTGGCCTCCCTCCCCCACCCTCTACCCTCCCTGAACCCACCCTCTACCCCTCCGCTCGAAACCCCTTCCCCTTCTCACTCGCAGGTGCTGAGCACGCGTGCGCGCAAGGACGTGTCCCTGGCCAGCATCAAGGTGGCGGTCTGCGTCTTCGTCTTCGACTGCCTGTACCTGGACGGCCGGGTGCTGGTGCAAGAGTCGCTGACGACGCGGCGCGAGGCCATGCGCGCCGCGCTGAGTGAGGCCCCCGGCGAGCTCCAGTTCGCCACGGCCAAGGTGTCGACGGACGTGGAGGAGCTGAGTGCCTTCCTGGACGACGCGGTGGATGCGGGGACGGAGGGGCTGATCGTGAAGACGCTGGGCGATACCTACGAGCCCAGCCGCCGCTCCAGCCACTGGCTGAAGCTGAAGAAGGACTACCTGGAGGGGGTGGGGGACACCTTCGACCTGGTGCCCATCGGCGCCTGGCACGGCCGCGGCAAGCGCACGGGTATGTACGGCTCCTACCTCCTGGCGGTGTACGACCCGGAGAACGAGGAGTATCAGACCATCAGCAAAATCGGCACCGGCTTCAGGTTGGGGAGGGGGGTGGGGGGTGGGAAGTGATCTTTGGATGAAGTTTGGGCTGTGTGTCGAATGGGACTTTGAGGTTTCCATGGGTCCACCTGAGGAGTTGGAGCAGGCACTGTGGGCCCTTGGGCCCTTGGACCTGCGAGGATCTACGGGAGGCTATGCCCGCACACCCGACCTTGTTCCCTCACTCCACCTCGAACCGTTTCCCCTTCAGTGAGGAGCTGCTGAAGCAGCTGGCAGAGTCCCAGAAGGAGCTGGTCATCCCCGGTCCGCGAAAGTACTACAAGTGAGTCCTGGAAGGGGAGGAGGGGGGGGCACGGCCAAGTGTACAATGATCAAGGGCAGGTGGCTCGCAAGCATGCCGGTGCCCTGACCCGTGTTGTGGCTCGCACCTTGCACTGGCCCCACGCGCACTGGTCCCTGCTCTCCACAGCTGGGGCGAGACGCTGGAGCCAGACGTCTGGTTCGAGCCCAAGGCGGTGTGGGAGATCAAGGCGGCAGACCTGTCCATCTCCCCGGTGCACAAGGCTGCCACTGGGCTGGTGGACGCCACCAAGGGGATCTCCATCAGGTTGGCAGGCTGGGGATGCGGTCGGGGGGTTCAAGGGGAGCAGAGGGGCGGATACACTACACGCTGGGTTGTAAGGCAGTTCCAGAGCAGGATCGCCTTGCATACTCTTGATGCCTGGCCGTGCAGCGCTGGCCAAACGTGCCAAGTGTCCTTCCTCGCCAACCTCCCCATCTCAGATTCCCGCGGCTCATGAGGGTGAGGGATGACAAGGGGCCGGAGGACTCCACCAGCCCTGCCCAAGTGGCGGAGATGTATCAGGCCCAGGCCGTGGTCCAGCAGAACAGCAAGGCATCCAAGCCTGATGTCGATGATGACTACTAGGTTGATGAACATGCTGGTGACTGAAACTTGTTCAATGGAAGCACCTCCAGGTGCTTGCAGGGGGTACGAGGCTGGCATGAAGATCTCGGTGCTTACTCTTGTAGTGAAGGGATGGGAGGGCTTGCCCTGCCTCTGGTTGGGCTAGATCGGCTGGGGACCGATTTCCGAAAGATTTCGCGGGGCGCGATAAGGCAACAGGCGGGGCGGGGTTGCCCCCCTCTACAGCTCCAGGCCCTGCCCCATATTCAGCCCCAATGCATTGTTGATGCATGCTCTGGACTCCATCAATGTGATGTCGCTGGACCTGAGGTGCTCCAGGCCGGACATCCGTCATCGTGCAGTGGTCCCCTCCACGCCGCTGTGCAGAGCGCCACGGCACCTCCGGCGAAGGCCATGCGTGCACTGCGCAAACGAAACGCCATCCTCCTCCGGGCATAATGGGAAGGAGACTGACTCTGGGTAAGGACGCGGTGGAAGGAGGGGGTTGCATGGAGATTTTGGCGAGCACTGCTCACCAGCCATTGCACAGGTTTGAGGACCGAGACCACAAGGAAGCAAGCAACACCCTGATTCGCATGCACAGGCAAGGAAGCTCAGTGTCCACAGAGAACTTTTCCATCATTGAGTCTCGAGACTCTGTAAAGGTATCTTGCCATTTTGTGGATTGGAGTCTGGTGGTCCCCCTGCGTGTGCTGCTGACCAGGCCCCTGCTTCTCACGCACCTTGATTGTTGATGAGTGCGCTCTGCTTGTTCAGCCCCTGCACCATGGCTCGAATACACCGTGCGTAGCATCCACCTCCAATGTCCCCTCTTTCCCTTGCATCAGTCTTTTGAGGGAATGCACTTTGACGACATCTATGCCAACATCACCGCTCGACGAAATCGTATTTTCTTGTTGATGGAGGAGGTCCGCAGGCTGCGTATCCAGCTGCGTGCCAAGGTGCGGGAGAGATTTGATAGTCCTGGAGGTGGAAACTTGGGAATCCCTGCTCTCGCTGGACACTGACAGCAAGCACACTGATTGTCTGGACTGCAGGGAGGAGAATAGCATGTCCACAGGATGCCTGTTGCTGCTGGCAGCTTAAATCATGTGTCACCTGTACCCTTGCTTGCCAGGGAGGCACAGAGTCCAAGGAGGCCTTACTGGAGAGCGAGACATATCCATCCTCCATCCCCCTCTTCCCCGCCATCTCGGACGAGACCCTCAAGCGGTACTGGCGGTACTACTTCACTGCAGTGGCCGGAATCATCAGCTTTGGTGCCCTGCTGGCACCCACGCTGGAGCTTCGCCTAGGCCTGGGAGGTGGGCAATGATTTAGGGGGTGTCGGATGAGAATTAGAGGCTTGCGTGTTTACTCTCGATGTTTGGGCCCTTGAGGGCTGGAGTTCCAGTCGAGGTGTCAAGGAGGCGTAGGAGAGGGGCACAGGGGAGAGTGAGCGCAATCATTTCCTCATCCATTGGCATCCCTCGGCCCGTCTCGTCGACTGCACCCCGTTCTGCCTCCCTCAACCTGCCTGCCAAACACATCCCTGCAGGCACCACCTACCGCGACTTCATCGCCAGCTTGCACCTGCCAAATCAGCTGGCGGACGTGGACCCCATTGTGGCCTCCTTCTGTGGGGGCGCGGTCGGCGTTCTCTCCGCCCTGCTGCTGGTGGAGATCAACAACGCTAAAGTGCACAACAAGCAGCGCTGCCTGTACTGCGAGGTGGGTGGGTGTCGGGCTCGGTATGCTTTGCGACGGCGGGCCTGCCTGGATGGGTGGGTGTGACTGCACTGGAGCGCGGACCTTCGCCCGAGTCCCCTTTAAGTTGGCCCGGCCCTTGACCATTGCCTGATGGCAGTTCTACACTGTCACTGCTATGATCTGATCAGCCTTCCCTTCCTCGGAGCGGTGCAGGGGACAGGGTACCTGGCCTGCGGCGCATGTGAGGGGGCCGGCAGCAACACCAAGGTTGCCGGGGGGGGGGCCTGCGCCATCTGCGCGGGAACGGGCAAGGTCATGTGCACCTCCTGCCTGTGCACAGGCAAGAAGCTGGCCACCGAGCATGATCCACGTATTGACCCCTTCAACCCCTTCTAGTAAGAGCATGCGCTTGCCAATACTTTGCGGAGCTTCTTGAACCGTCTGCCTGGTCTGCGACGAACAACAACATGTAAGAGCTACAGTGTTTGTCACTGGAACAATGGGCAAGGGCACGGGGCTGCTTGCTGGGCCAGGGCGGATGTACAACGCGTCAGGGTGAATTGTTAGTGACATTACCGTTTGCGATCTCGCCCTGCTTTGTATGGAGGGGTACCCGGAAAACGCATGGTACATGGAACTGGGTGTGAGGACTTCAAGCTGTCCAAGCAGACTCATGTGCTAGCCCTCTACTCAGCGCTGCATGGGATCTGCGGGCGGGGGGGGAGACCCCGCCATTCCGGAGAGCACGCCGTTGCGGATGGCGGTGGCCGCCTCTCCCACCGACCCCGGTCCATGGGGCAGGAAGACGGTGCTGGCACGGGACGAGCTGCCAATGTCCTGCAGGGTGTGAGATGGTGGTGCGGAGGGTGTGTGAGTTGCATGAATTAAACGACAGATTCTACTGGTCCAGCATGCCTTGAAGACGGACGCCTGGGCCACCAAATCTCAGAGGTCATCAACGCGGTGCAAACTCATTGGGTCTCCCCTCCTCACGAGCATGCATGGTAGTGCACCCCAGAGATAGCCCAGGCGCGGAGCCAACCTTTTGGTCTCTGACCCCACTCCCACACCGAACCCTGCACCTATCCCCACCTTGAGCGTGTCAAAGTACTGGGTGATGAGCAGCAGCTCCATGACGTCGCGAGAGTTGACGTCCGACACCTCGTTCTGGAAGGTCTGCACCGACTCACGCAGGCCCGAGATGATGGCCTGGCGCTGGCGTGCGATACCCTGGCCCGCCAGGTACTTGGCCTCGGCGTCCGCCTCCGCCGCCTTGACAATGCGGATCTTGTCCGCCTCCGACTGCTCGTAGGCGGCGAGGCGCAGCCGCTGCGCGGCGTTGATGTCGTTCATGGCGGCCTTGACCTTGGCTGCCGGCTCGATGTCGGTGATCAGGGTGTTGACGATGGCGAAGCCGAAGCCCGTCATGGACTTTGCCAGTTCCTCCTTCACCGCCGCCGCAATCTGCTCCTTGCTGATGAAGACGTCGTCCAGGTTCATCTTGGGCACCTGGCCCCTGATCTCGTCATACACTGTGTGATGGGCAGGAGGTGTGTGTGTGTGTGTGTGTGTGTGTGTAATATCCGTCTGGCACCTCAACAGACCCTGAAAGATAGAGGCAGCAAGCGCAGAGGTACTGCACAGCATGCAGGGCAGGGATGCCACACACAGGCGCCAACCCTCCGGCCTCCCCGTGCACCGCAGATGGGCATGTCACGAGGCATCCGGTTCCAAGCACCCACCGTAGCTTCGAATCTGGCTCTTGGAGTCTGTGAGCTTGTAGAAGGCATCGTACACATTCTCGCGCACCACCTGGTACTGCACAGACACCACGATGTCCACGAAGACTGCGACCATGAGGGTTTGGGGTGGGGTGAGAGGGTGCTGTGAAGCGTCCACCGCCTGATCACAGGAGTGACCCAGTCCCACCACCCGCCACCGGGTCGCACCATTGTCCTTGGACTTGGTCTCGCAGCGGACATCCAGCTGCTGGATCCTCAGGCTGAGCTTCCCGGCCACAGCCTCTCCCGCACAGCACCAGATGCAGTTGAATCCTGCATGGGAGAGTTGCCTTCGGTCCATGAGCAGCTTCTCCCACATGAAAGACGCCAGGCAACACCCCATGCATGCCGCAGCAACTTACCAGGGTGACCGATGCGGTTAAATTTGCCAAACTGCAGGGAGGAGGTGAGTGAAGGGGGGAGGCATCAACTCCATGAGAATCACGACAGCGTGCGCGCAAATCCCACGACTCCGGAACGCTCCCTGTACCCCCGCACCTGCTCAATGAGCACCGCCGAGCTCTGATCTGCACTAGGTGGAGGGAGTAGAGGAGGCTGGGCATGTGAGTCCCCGGTCATGGACCGTTCTGCAACTCCGCGTCAATACTCCAACACCCCCACCCCTGACGCACCGACAGTGGTAAAGCACTGACCCATCTTGCGAGACTCTTGTTCGAGTGATCTATGAGATGAAAATGTTCTTTGACTGTGAGGGCTTGTGGCGATGCACCTTTTCTGGCCCGGCTCGGGAGTTGCAAGTATCCACCCCTTGAATCTTTCTTTCTGAGTGCGACGGCAAATCCAGTCCACATATATTCCGCCATGTGTCAGGGAGATACCACTCGGGTATTTCGAATTATACAGATGTGTTGATCAATCCGGAAGAAGTGTGGTCCCGCTCTGGGTGAGTAGCCCCATGGGTTGCAAGGCTGTGAATTCTGCAGTTTGGTAGCCATGAGGTTCGCATGGCGAGGTGCTGGCAGTTGCCGATCTCTACCATGCATATGTTTTCCTGATGTTTCACATCTGACAAATTCAGTCCTGGGCTTGGCATGTTCAACTCCTCAATGAGTTTTCCCACGGTCGCGACAGTGTGAATCCGCCGTCCGAGTATAAGACGCATTCGCCAGTCCTGGCTAGGCATACCCCGTGCTGAAGAGCCATAATCATATAACTTGATTTGCCGTTATAAAGTAGAGGGGACTATGCTTGCTCAAAAATCTTCTCGCAGCAGGATACCACCCAGACGGCCAAGGTGCACATCGGGCAGGTCAGGGATTTTGTTTTCACCTACAGTCATGACAACATGAGATATTACCTTTGAACGAGTTAGTGGTTGTGCACATCCACACAAAACTGAACACAGGCGTCGTTTCGTTTGTCGTCCTCATCTCGTCACTGTCTCGAGGGCGCTCGACATTGGCCTGCATTCCTCCCTTTCTATTACGAACTCGGGGCGGCCTGCGCCTGCAAAGCCCGAGCGTCGGTCGACACCTGCCTCTTCCCCTGCTTTGCAGCTAGGAGCTACCCAGGCGATAAGATGACGAAGGTACGCTTGGCCTCGCGCTGGACTCCGCTGTCACCACCCTGGCGGGAAGCCCCTTGGGTGCCGGCACGGCGAGGAGTCGCGCTCACCCTACCTGGCCCCCCTTCTCCCCCCGCAGACCGTCGTCATTGACTGCAGGACGCACATGCTGGGCCGCCTGGCCAGCGTAATCGCCAAGCAGCTCCTGAGCGGTCAGCACATCGTGAGTCGTGGGCGGGGTGGTCGGAGCCTCTGCGCACGCTGCAGGGCAGTCCAGCGATGTATCACACCGGGACATGCTCTGGAGATGAGTGCTTTCAGGCATCGGCGCGCTCGACATGCGGTGCTGGACACCCCCCTGGTGTGCTGCCGACCCCACACCTCGAACCCCTCCCCCACAACAAACAGGTGGCCGTCAGCTGCGAGAACATCACCCTCTCCGGCGGCATGGTGCGCCAGAAGGCCAAGTACGAGCGCTTCCTGAACAAGCGGTCCGTCTCCAACCCCCGGCACGGCGCCGTCAAGTTCAGGGCGCCCTCCCGCATCCTGTGGCGCACCGTGCGCGGCATGGTGCCGCACAAGACCGCCCGCGGCGCGGCCGCGCTGGCCCGCCTGAAGGTGTTCGAGGGCATCCCCACCCCCTATGACAAGGTCAAGCGCGTGGTGATCCCCGACGCGCTCAAGGTCCTGCGCCTGCAGCACGGCCACAGGAACGTGGCGCTGGGCGATATTGCCACCTCCATCGGCTGGAAGCACCAGGAGACCGTGAAGGAGCTGGAGCACAAGCGCAAAATCAAGTCCGCCGCCCGCTACGTCGCCAAGAAGAAGCTGGCGGCGCTGCGCGCCAAGGCCGAGGCCTCCGTGCAGTGATCTGGCATGCCGTGCCTCCTGGTTGTGAGAGTGGGTCTCGCTGGTTGCAGAGAGGGGTGGCGAGAGGTTGCCCAGCAGGGGGCCAAGGGTGGGCGCGAGCTGAGCCTCCGGCCCTGCAGCGCCCAGGGATGCAGATCCACCTACCCACCTGACGATGGCCTGGCGCGACCGACGTCGGGCCTTGCAGGGCAACGGAGACGACCAGACTGATCTCGGTGCCCATGTTTCATATGTGGGAGCAGCCGGAGAGCCATGTGGAACGGGGTGAAACACCAGCGGCAAGTTCAGGAAATGAAGAATCGGAGGCAGGCAGGGTGCTGGAGGGGGGCATGCAGCGGGGGATGGGGTGGGTCTTCGGCGCTGCCGGGCTCTGAGCGCATGGTGCTCCCCGGTCCTCTTCGGGATGAACCCGCGTCGTGCGCCGCGTGTCATTCCTCTGGGCGCAAAGCTCTCCACGGAATCGGCACCCTCATACGCCGCCGCGTCAGCGGCCGGCCCTATCACGTGCTGGGCGAGCGCTTGTGCTCGGCGCTGGTCCCGGCGGGGCGCTTGACGCTGGGCGACCGCGTCTTGCCGTCCTTCATGAGGCTGGCCAGCTCCTCGTCGGTCGACTCTGAGGACGGCGCCGTCTTCTCCGCGGCCGCACGCATGGCATTCAGCTTCTGGACGTTGTACCAGCACACGGCCGCAAAGGCCAGGGCATAGCCGCCCAGATTCACTGCAGTGACGGGGGAGTGGAAGAGGGCCCAGGACAGCGCAATGAGCAGCCAGTCCTTGACCACGCCGCCGATGTTCATGGTCAGGGCGGAGGTCTTGCCAATGAGCAGGAAGACAGCCATGTTCAGACCTGGAAGTTTTTTTTTTGGGGGGGGGGGGGAGTGTGTTGGCTGTGCAGATACCGGCAACCAGGAGGACAGACATGCATGTGAGCGCAAGATGCCGCAATCGTGTACACCGAACATAGCGACAGGATGGTCCAACGATGGTTTCAAGGGGTGGGCGAATTGGGCAGTGAAGTGAGGTCTTGATGCAGGTCAGGTGGCAGCACGATGCGCTGCGGACGAACCCCACGGTCCAACCAGGCAACTGGCAAGCACTTGCCCTGGGGAGAAAGCGTGGCCAGCACCGCTTCTAGGTGGACCGCGGCCATGCAAGCAGGTCCAGACCAGGTGTGTTGCCCACGCTTCAACGCTGCCATACATGATCCCGTCAACATGACCCCGCCCCTCATCCAAATCCCTCCTGCAACCTGCACTCACCAAAGGCGGCAGCGGCGTTGCTGATCATGATGGCGGGCGCGATGACCAGCTCGGCATCTGCCAGCATCTTGGGCGCCTCGATGAGGGCAAAGGGGACGAGGAGGAAGGCGGCGCAGGCGGGGGCCAGGTAGTAGAGGGTGGTGATGGGGTTGAGCTTGAGGCCGCGGCGCTGGAGCAGGATCTGGACCAGGGTCAGGCGTGTGGACTCGGTAGCGATGGACAGCATCTGGAGCGCCACCCCCACCAGCACAAAGTTGATCTCGCCCCAGCTGGCGATGGCCACGCCCAGGGACACCACCAGCATGTTGGCCAGGGTTGCGGGGGAGTAGGCCTCGGTGCCGAAGATGCAGCCCACGCCAAAGACGGCCACGGGCATGAGCGCCTTGAGCATCTGGATGAAGGACACAGACAGGTACAGGTAGGCAGCGTTGCCCAGCCAGAGGGTGCCGGCGTAGAGGAAGCCGATGGGCACGATGGCACGCAGGTAGGTCTCACGGCTCATCCCGATGGGCTCCACATAGCCCAGCTTCACGATCACGGTGGCCAGGAAGGAGCAGAAAACCATGTGCCACAGCGTCAGGGCCACGGGGTAGGGGAACCCTGAGGGCGGCGTGAGGGCGATGTGAGGGGGGCTTGGGTCAATGAACGTGGCACTCAAGGCCAGGCGGGCTGTGCTGACAACAGCAGCACCCCAGGGAGCCAGCACCCGCCTGGCGCAATTTAAACCATGGCGTCCATCAGGGCCCCGGCCCTGACCCGGTCCGTGCCCGGCCCACGCCTGCTCCCTCACCGGAGAAAGAAAGCACCCATTTGTTGTACATGATGACGGTGGAGCTGAGGCCGATCCATAGCGTGACGTAGCTGGGGCGGGGTGACAACAGATCCTTGGCCGGGTGGCTGGGGTCGATGCCCCTACACGAACCCGCACAAACAACAGTCCAAACGAGATGTGCTCTCCATAAACCGAGGCAGCGCAAACATCAGTGTTTCCAGCGAATTGACATCGCACAGCACAACCAGGTCGGAGGGTTGGAAGTCCTACTCTTCACTCACCCGTATGTCACGGCGATTTGCAGCCACATGGCCTTACTCTTCTCTTCGGAGATTGCCATGGCGCTCAGAGGTGCTCCTCTGCCTAACAAGAGGCACACCAAAGCACCCGCCGCTCAGGTGCTTGCTGCTAACCCCCCCTCGTCGTGTCCCCGGTGACCAGCCGCGCACACTGAAGTACTTCACTTCAATCTGTTTTAGACTTTGTTTTTAAAGTATGTGCGTCGAGAGTGCCGCGAAAGGCTTTCGATTCTATGTATTGCGGTTTGAAGCACTGGCCGGGTTCCCGGGTCGATGTATGTCGCCCTGAGATTCCTTTTCCAGAGCTGAGGGGGGCCAGAGTTGGGACCGCCTTGTCAGCCGGCTGCGAGCCTGAGCGCTGCAACTTTGCCTCACAAGGGTGCACAAGGGGAGGCCTGCAGGGAAGCACATGTACCCTGCTGCTTCCAAATCATGCTTGAGCTGCAATCAGCACTCGCTGCTTAGTCGATGTTGAACACCTGCAAGGGTTATCATGGTGGGCAGCTAGTGTGAGCCATGCCACAGACTCTTCGTCCTAGAGCTGACTCCATGCAGCTTTCTACTTGCACATCCCTGCCCACCTTCTTCAGGCGGACCACCAATCTCCAGTCATCCTTGGTCAGGTCGTCCCTGAACATGTCCTTCAGGACATTGATAGACTTGCGGGTTATCTTTGACACCAAGTCGTCCTTGTGGTCAAAGTGGCGTCCGTACAGCCTTGCCGCCTGGTCTGGGTTGGTGGCCTGGGTGCGGGAAGAGGGGGAGAGGGTGAGAAAGATGGGATGCTGACATGATTGAATGTGTCGCGGACTTGAGAGAGTGCTGATCGGGGACCAGTGCAAGAGAGTCGTCGCGGCATTCCCCTGTGTTGTACACAAGCCAGCATGCAACAGAGCATGGCATGCCACATGACGGCATGTGGGCCGTGCATCGGCACACCAATCGAAGCTTCACAGTGGCGTAGGCAGGCGCAGCCCCACTGGACCATCCATGTCCTCCCTAGACGGCTCCTTCAGCAACACCATCCCTGCAATACAAAGCCAATGCCCTGAAAAATCACACTACAACCTCCCAAATACCATCCACCCTCCCTGCAGACCTCGATCTTCATTGCCACGGCATCCCCTCGCTTTGCTGTGTCCACCGCCTTGTGATCCTTCTCCATGGACGCGATGCGGCCCAGCTCAAACCCACCCTGATGATGTGAGGGTGGAGGAGCAGGGCGAGGCTTTGTGGAGAGCTGGAAGAGAGCATGCTCACTCGCTTCTTGAGCATGGAATGCCGCGATGGCACTTCAGACCAGCGAGACGGTCCAAACAGGGGTAGCCCCGGCCACGGCGACGCCAGCTCCTGCATCCCAGGCCCCCTGCCGGGCGCGAGTCGGCACGCTTCCTCGCCGCCCCTGCACTCCCCCTCACCTGGGACGGCACGCAGATGGGGGTCCCAATGCGCGCGATGCCCTCTGCGATCTCCACCCCCACCACGATGGGGTCCTTCTTGTTGAACACGCAGGTGGGCATGATGCGCAGGACGCAGGGGAACACCGCCTCCAGCCGCGCGGCCTCCTGCTCCTCCTCCTTCACGTGCTTGAGGTAGGCAGTGAACTGGTCGAACAGGTGGTAGATGATGTCGGCGGTGAAGATGTTCACACCCAGCTCCTCCGCCATCTCACGCGCCTCCTTGTTCACTGCATCGGGGGTGGGTGTGGGTGGGTTTGTGTATGGGGTGGGGGGGGAGGGGCGACTGCAAGAGGGACGGGGGTGGTGATCGCACCCAAAGCTGCTCGTTTATCGGCCAGAGCTTGCCTGTAAGCGCGGCCGGCCAGCCCCATCCCTGCCCTGCCCCATATTCCTGGAGCCACACCCGCCACCCTGCAGCGCCCAGCGCACCTGGGACGTCAAATGCAAGGATGACGCCGTACTTTTTCACGCCGCGCTCGATCATCACGTTGGCCCGCATGACGTCACGCTTGTGCACCGGCCCGATGTTGATGGCCGACACCGCGATGTTAACCTCCGGCGTCTTGAGGAAGGCGAGCAGCGCCTCCAGCGAGCCCAGCGTGGACGCCTGGACGCACACGCCCTCGCCTGTGGGGAGAATGTGAGGGGAGGGGTGGCATGAGGGGCGACGGACAGGAGCTCAGATGAATGGAAGGAACTGTGCACAGGAAGCAAAGACGCCGTTCTGCCCCAGGAGGGGGCGCCTTGGCTGGCGACCTGCTCCATGCAGCGAGCCTCCACATGAGTGAACCGAGACCATCCCCCAGCCCCCTCCGAAGGTTAAGAATCATGTGGCCTCGCACCAGTCTTGTCGACGGAGGCAAATATGTCCTGCATGTCCTCCATCACCTCCGCCTTGAGGGCCTCCAGGTCGTCGTCCGGCCGCACCACAAAGAGCTGGGGACCGGGTGGCCAGGAGGAGGGGCAATGACTTCTATCCTGCTTTTCAAAGCTGGCCCCTTGGAGCATGAACTTTGCACTGTGCTCCCGGGACCCCTCCAAGTTTACCGCCGCACCACAATGGATGTCGTGCTCTTCCCTCCCGAGATCCCGGAACCAGAAGATACCGCCTGGCACCCTGCCTCACCTGCGTGCCAGCCACCGCAGTCTCCAGGTTGTGGGCTGCCAGCTTGATTCCCATTGCGGCCCGAACCTCCTTGTGATGCACGTAGGTGCCCTTGACCCTCATCTCCTGTTCAGTTTTTGGTGGAAAGGGCGGCGTGGGTGAGGCAACGAGAGAAATCGTGCATCTCTGCTTACTGTGCAGGGCATCCTGGTGAGGAACTGGCAGCCGGCATGGCCCAGGCAAGCTGGCCATGCCCGGCAGGATTACTTGAACACAATCAAACTGGGCATCAGCAAAAGGAACTGCATACATCGCCCTGCCACTTCCAAACCAGGTCCCCAACCCTCACCCGCAGCGGTTGGGGCGTGAGCAGGGCTCGGATGGGGGTGACGATGGCGCCTCCCAGCCCGCACACCACGATGGTGTCCCCCTCCTGCAGCTGCCCGTTGATGAGCACCACGTCGATGGTGGTGCCCAAGCCCTCGATGGACTTGACCTCCAGCACCGTGCACTGTGGAAAGGAGGGAGCAGAGCGTGTATTGCCTGGACCTACTGGAAGCTCAAATCAGTGTCCTGTAACAGTGAGGAGCACATGGCTGCCATCCCCAGCACTGAGCACCATTGCTCAGGACCAGCCAGCAGCCGGCCCCACACCTGTAGCCTGCACCCCCTCCCAACTCCACCTGCAGGTCGTTGACGAAGGTGAGCTTCTCGGCCATGGCCGTCTGGGTAAGCTTGACCAGAATCTGGAGCAAGTCGGGAATACCTGGAGCGGGACAGAGGTGGGTAGAAGATTGCAGAAACTTGGAAAATGTCATGGAACATCTTCGCTGGACATGTGTAGCCTGATATGGGAGGAGGCCGCCGACAGCAATATGCCCAGTGTCTGACAAGGTGTTCGGAGATGGATAGCATTCCGTGCTGGCGCCCTTCCATCTACATGGCCCGGGCAGGGCGGCCAACACCCCTGAGCCCACACACGACCGCCTGCCCCTCACCCTCTCCGGTGTGTGCCGAGGTGGGCACGATGCTGATGAAGGAGCGGGGGTCCTTGTTGCGCCAGTACAGCGCCACGTTCATGCCCTGCTCGTTCAGTTGCAGCATGATCTGCGGCGCGAGGGGGAGCAGGGGATCTCAGGATCTGGGGGCCCGGGATACCCACCTTTGACAAGTGGAGCCGCTCCTCAAGCCTGGAACCATGCAGAGACCACCAGGGGTGCGACGGCAGGGCACGCACCTCCATTCCATCTGGGCCCCTTGTCAACCTAGTCCCCTCTGCCGGAGGCACTGATTCACAAACATCCCTGCACACCTTCCTTCCACACCCCAACCCCAAGGCCCCAGTCCCCCAGGGCCATGCCAAAGTCTCCACACCTTGTCCATGCGCTGCTCGAACTCGGTGCAAACATGCTCTGCCTGTCGCTCGAGGGCGTCTATGATGGGCGAGTTGGGCACAGATTTCCAGCCATACAGCCGATCGACCTGGGGGGAGAAGGGGTCAGTGTGGGTTACGTGATGCATGGGCCAGGCTCGCATCTGAAGCGCGGCGCAGAACAGCGGCGCAGCACAGCCCAGAAAAGGCTGGGCGCATGTGGAGACTTCCTGCACTCAGTCCGCCCCATGGGGTGTTATCAGACCATCCGTCCTACCCATCCTAGCCTGGTAGGTCCTCTCCCATCACCCTCTAATCATCCCCCCTCTCCCCCCCGCCCCCCACCCTTACCTTGTTCATGGCAATGACGAACGGCGTCTTGCGCATGCGGAGGAGGTTGAGGGACTCGATGGTCTGCTGCTCAAGACCGTGCATGAGGTCCACCACCAGGACGGCAATGTCGCACAGGCCTGATCCGCGGGAACGCAGATTACTAAAGGACTCGTGGCCTGGGAACGGGTTTTGAGCGAGAGTGGTCACAGAGCAAGGCAGAACTCGCGCAGGTCGAAGCAGGGTTCTGGGAAAGTCGTGGCATGCCAGTCCAGCTTGATATGATGCGGCCAGAGGAGGCCCCTCATACATTTCAACTGAGGAGTGTGAGGGACCACGGAAGCTGTGCACATACCCCCCCCCCAGGGCAGACCATCCCCAACACCTGGGGTATCAATGACCAGCAGTCCAGGCAATTTCAGGTCGAAGCTCTTGCCACGCCGCAGCTCCTCCGTCCGCGTCAGGATGGCATCTGCAAGGACGAGCGGCGGGCACAGGGCCATTGTGAGGCGCCTATTCCCGCGCCACACGCGCTATGCCCTTTCCCTTGAGGGTGACGAGACCGCCTGGATGTTGAGAAGCTGGCCAGGCCCTGCGTCTCTCCACAATCCACTCCCACAAACACTCGCACCTCCAGGAATGTAGGTGGCCCCAATCTGCTGAGTGATGCCGCCGGCCTCCCCATCCTGCACATTTGTCCTTCGGATGTTGTCCAGGATCTTGGTCTTGCCTGGTTGTAGGGTATCAGAAGGTGTATAATGCGTGGGACATTGCAAGTTGCAAGGCGACTTGCACACAAAGACTGATCCCATGACCTCAAAGTGTCCATACACCCAACTACTCCAAAAGGTTCCCCTCTCACATTGCCGGCCCTTCCCTCAGCAATCTAAACAACCAAGATATCCCTGGGCCCCAAACCCCATCAGCAAACCTGTGTCGACATGCCCCAGGATGCAGCAGATGGGCGACCTCAGGTCGGCAGGGTTGCGCAGGGCCATCGCCAGCTTCCTGCGCTCCGCACGCTTCTCGCGCTGGGCCGCGATCCGCTCCTCCATCTCCGCCTCGCTGTCCGTGCTCTCCTCCTCCGAGCTGCTGTACTCGGAGCTGGACTCGGACTCGGACTCAGACTCAGTCTCGGTGCCACTCCCCGACTCCGAGGCATCGCTGCTGCTGGTCTCCCCCTCCTCCTCCTCTTCGTCACTCTCCTCCTCCTCTGCTACCGCCTCCTCCACAGCCTTCTCAGACGTCGCCGCCTCACCATTCTGCTCTGCAACTTCGGCCTGTGGAGTGCCAGCGGCTGTCGCAACGGGTGCAGCGGGCTGCTGGCCTGGAAGCACCAGCGTGTCCTCGTCCATGGCCTCCCAGTCGTCCACAGTCGCTTCCCAGGTTTCCTCCACGGCACCCTCCACGGGCTCATCGGCAGGCGCTGCTGGCTCATCGGCAGGCACTTCGGATTCTGGCTCTGGGGCCGGTGCGGGCTCTTCCTCGGCTGCTGCTGACACAGGGCCTTCCGCCTCTGGGTTCACCTGCTTGCGCGGCTGCGTCCTCTTGCGATTTGTGTACACCGGCTTCTTTTTGGGGGCGCCTGTGTTGCATGGACCAGGAGCGTCAGCAGAACAACCAGCGAGGCTTGCAATGCATGCTGGGCAGCGTGGATTTCCGCAAATGCAGCAACTCAATGTCCAAAAGCTGTGTTGCTGTCAACACCCTCTACTCACACATTCACCCCAACCACCGTCCCAAACTAGATCCCCCCCCTCCCACCCCATTCCACAAACCTGCATCGACGTCTATCCCTGCCTGCTTCAGGAACTGCTCCCTCACACGGGCCAGCCTCTCGGCCTCAGCCTTGGCCTTGCCTGTCAACAATTTCCCTTCCTTCTTCAGCTGCTCGCGGCGAGCCAGCTTCTCAGCTTTCCTGTTGAGTGAGGGATCGGGGATGGTGGTCATGACATCAATGCCTGTCAGCCAGTCTTCTGCGTTGCACTGCTCTGTGAGGGTAGACTTTTATGCGTGGCAGCCTCCCTGTGCCAGCCGATTGTCCAAATCGTTCAAGCCAATCAGCACACCTTCTTTCAGCTGCTTCGGCCTTTTGGCGCTCAGCCTCCTCAGCAGCACGCTCCTCCTCCTCCTCCTGGGATGAAAGGCACGGTCGTCTGAGTGCAAGACGATGCCTCGACACCTCAGGAGGGTTTCAGAGGTGCAGCAAATGTCCCACACACAAGACGCTTCGGCCCCTGCACAGCATATCCAGTCCCAGGGATTCAGAACCAAAACAAGACAGCTCACCCTGAGCCGCTGCTCCTCAGCCAATCGTGCAGCTTCCTCTGCTGCACGACGCTGGGCTTCCAGGGCGGCCTGCATGCGCTTCACGGCAGCAGACACCTTGGGCGCCCCCTTCTTCCCGCCCTTGGCAGACGCGGAGGCGGGCTCAGAGCTCTCCTCCGCTGCGGGCTCCTCCCCGCCCTCCGCCTCGACCGCGCCACCGCTCTTCTTGGCGGCATCGCGAGCCTTCTTCTTGGCCCTGCGCTTTGCGGCCGCAGACGTGGCAGGACCGCCCTCGCCGCCACCTCCGTTTTCCTCGGTGGCGTCGCTCGGGCCCCCAGGCGCCGACGCTGCTGCACTCCCTACTCCAGCTGCCGACGCTGGCAACTCTACTCCTAGTTCGGCCAGCAGGGCGTCAAGGTCCTCCTCCTCCCCGTCGGCTTTGCCTTTCCCTCCTTTCCCTGCGGAGCATGGGTGCGCTGCGACGATGAAGCACTGCTTGATAGAACCATGGCGTCGAAGCAAATGCACGACTGCCAGCGCATTGCGAGTGTCTGCAGGTACAGGTAATCTCAAGATCCCCACTCCCTCTGCCAGGTGGGCAGGGCCCTCCTTGCCAGTCACAGCCCCATAGACTTTGGAAATCACCGTAACCACACACCCTCCCCCAGTCTCTGCAGTCTCACCCTTCTTCTTCTTCTTTCCCCCCCCAGTTGGTGCGGGGACTGGGGCAGCCGGTGCCGGCGCATCGATTTCTGCGAGCAGTGCGTCCAGCTCAGCATCTGATGCCGCTGGTTCCTCCTTCTCCCGGTCCTTTCCCTTGGATGTCTCAGACGGGGTGGGCTCTGTGAGGGGGGTCACAGCCTTATCACCACCGTTGTCTGCCAAGAGGGCATCCAAATCCAGCTCAGCACGCGCAGTCTTCTTCTTGGACTTCTTCTTGGGGCCGAGCTGCAGCTCATCAGCTCCCAGGGTGAGCGCTGTTTCACGATGTGGAAGGTTTGGGGTGGGTGAGCAGGATGGCACACACTGTTGCACTTGCTTGGCTGGCCAGCCTCAGTCAGAGGAGCATGGTGGTGAGTACCATGACAATGCAAAATACTAAACTCTCAATTGGGTCCATAAATGATTTAACACTGCGTCCAAATGATCCCTCACCTCCCACAATGCCCAACCAACAGCTCGATCTCCTGCCACCCCTTCAAACACCAAATCAATCCTCCCACAAACCTTCAAAAGCAGAGATATTCTCTGATGATTCAGCAATAGAAGCATCAGTGGGCAGCTGACTTTCCCCTGGGGTGTCATCCTCACCCCCCGCCAGCGCAGCAAAGAGAGCATCGGTGGCAGCCTTGCTCTTCTTGCCCTTCCTCTTCTTCTTGCTCTCTAGTTCTAACATGGTCTCCTCCTCAGCATCTGCAGCCACGTGAAGAAGTTGTGGAGGACCAGGCAAGGTGAGGACCAGACATGATTGGGTTAGCTCAGATTCATGTGGCAATTCACACCAGAGGACTGGGGAATTACTCCCGAGCAATCCCCACACAGACCAATGCGCTGAGCACCTGCAGTATGTTGCTCTCCGGCTTCCTCCTCCTGATGGGGTGTTGAGGGACGATTGGAGCTCAGTGAGGGGGGTTAGTGCATCCATGCTGAAGGAAAACAGCAGTCGTTCACCCCTCGGTGCCCCTGTACAATGCATTGCTCCGTAAACTAGTTGTGGGCGTCGTTAGTTCCATGTCCGGGATGCAGACATGCAGCACAGCCTTGTACCTGAGCAGGTTCTTCCTCTGGGATGGGCTCTCCAGGGAGCAAGCCTGGGGGAACACGGGCTGCCTCGCCCTCAGCCCCACTCGCCCAACCCAGGTCCTGGGCAGAGCATATCATCCCCGCGCTCTCCACGCCCCGCAGCTTGGTGTGGGCTATCTCCATGCCTGTGCCGGGCGTCTTGCACCCCACGGGCTGCAATTTGATCATGGACAAGGATGGGGAGTGTGTGAGTACGTGTGTGTGTGTGTGTGAGTGTGGTGTGGGGTTTGGGCGAAGGTTGAGAATCAGTCTGGGGAGAGCAAGATACAGGAGAACAAGTTGCAGGGTCCCGGAGATTGAGCAGACCACGGACATCAACCATGCTCATGCACAGTCAGAGGGCGCACAGAGTGGAGCACTTTGCTCACAGCTCCTGCACCCCTGGGCCAGGATCCCTGGTGTGTAATGGCAGTGCTCCGCAAGCAGGAGGCTCCCACACCAACTGTGGCGGTGCACCCGCTACACGACCCAGCCACACACCCCTCCTCACCGCTAACGCTACCAGCTGTTGCTTGGTCAGGTTGGGGGCGTTTGTCACAACCTGCACGTCCCCCAGAAGCGGTCCGGCGGCTAGCTTTACGACCCGCAGGCGGTCGGCCTTGGGGTGCTGCTTCAGGCCGACGATCTTGGCGACGATGGGCACTGGGCGTAGCTCTGGGGTTTCATCAGTGGCACCTTTGCCCTCCTCCTCCTCTGCCACCTCCTCCTCCTCCGCTGCCTCCTCCTCCTCTCCCTCTGCCCCGCTGCCCTCGTCCTCCTCGCCGAGAAGCTCGAAGACCGAGACGGGTGCAGCCTTCCTGCCCCGAGAGGCCTTTGTGGGACCTATGGTTGGCTCATCGTCCTCGCTTTCCACTCCTGCAGCTCCCGCAGCAGGTGTGAGCACTGCATAGAAGGACCAAAGGGAAGGGGTGCTGAGGAGGGAGTTTCTGGCCTACTCATGCAGCTAGGCGCCAGGACTTTACAAGGGGACGCCTGCCCAGGGCTTAGTTTACTGGGCCCTTCCTCCTCACCAGCGGGTACGGCCTCATCGTCCGAGTCGAATGCAGCTGCCTTCTTGCCCTTCTTCTTGTCCTTCTTCTTGGTTTTCGTCACTGTAGGGGTGGGGTACAGGCAAGTGAGCATTCCCGAGGACTGCTTCCAGGCTCAGAGCTCCTAGAATTTGCTATCCGACGAGGAAGTGACTCGAATAATCAGCGACGTGGCTTTTTACACATCCACTTCAGCGCACCAGGCTTGGTGAGTGCCTCCTCGGGCTCCTTGAGTTCCCCGTTCTCATCGAGTGCCGCAAAGTCCTTCTCCCAATCATCCAAGTTGCGATTTTTCTTCTTGGGCGGCATCGTAACAGTGGATAGAGGTGAGGTGCATGGCACTGCGATGCCCCTCGGCGTGACTCAGCCTAGTGAAGGAGCATTAGGCCGATCGCTGCGCGCACTTCGCCCGACCTGGTCAGCACGCGCAGCAGCCCGACTTCTCGATTGCGATTTGAGGCCGAGCTGTTCTGTGATCATGAACAACACCCAGGGCGATGCAATTTGGCAATATGACTCTGCATGGCTGATCTCGCCAGGAGCTTGCCTACCCCTTGGCCGATGTAGCGCCCTCGCCTGGCGCCCATGGCCGAGCCCGTGGCTGAGGGCTGTGCACCCCGCCCCGACTGGCTTGCTGCCACTGTTCCGAACGCCGCCAATGCTGACTTCTGCATTATACTCCGACACATTCTTGGGAGTGACCTGCGATGTTCCTGCCAGCAAGTTCTGCCAGCCTGCGTGGAGGTGATGGTGTGAGGAGGTGCAAGTCCTGGCCAAGCCACGCCCGGGACGAGATCTCGGAACGACTGCCCCACCACTCCCCTGCGCAGGACATGCACGGCGTGGCACTGCCTGGATGCTATCTCCTCCAAGTGGACGAGGCGCTTGACATCAGTGCCCCCGCACGCTTGAGGTACCAGCCGAACGCCGCGTCTGGCACCCGCAAGTTTCTCCTCACAGATGGTGTGGCAGAGTGCTGTGGTCTGGGGACTCTTGTCAATGGCAGCTGTGCAGTTCTGGCCAGTTCATTGGGACCGACTCAACCCCCCACGCAGGCACACAGCATGCTGTAGGACTGGAGCAGACAGCCCTCAAGGAGCTGGGCCGAGATTTCCCTGCAGGTATCAAGCTGGTGGTGACATGTCCGCCGGTGTGCAGGGGCATGCTGCTCCTGCGCCCCGACAACACCCGGGTCGCGGGGGGGTCCGTCCCTGCCCTGGAGCATGCCCGACGCGCCGCAGTAGAGGTCTGGAACCGCCCCATCGGTGCGCGCGGGGATATGGACGCAGCGGGGTGGACTCCTGGTGGGAAATTGAGAGGCAGTGATTCCAGTGCTGAAGCACCTCGGGCTAGAGTGTCATACTATAATGCAGTCTGTCAATCAAGGTTTAGACCAAAGTTACACACGCAGACACACGCCTACCTCCCTCTTCTCACAACATCACACCCGACAGTTGGACGTCCACGTGGGCTCCCGAGCCTGGCAGCCCTCCAGGCAGAGGCCTCCGCTGCCGCCTGGCAGCAGCACGCCGCAGGCGACACAGCCGGCCCCACGGCATCCAGGCAGGACCCTGTGCGCCCAGAATCTGGCACTGCAGCTGCGCCGCCGCGTAGGTACCACACCGAAGCGAGTCTGGCGTGTGCGCCAGGCCGAGGCATCCACGCGAGCCTCGAAGGACAGGCGAGCGGCGGAACGGCACCCGCAAGCAGCCGCTGGGCGGGTGGCCAGGAGGGCAGGCAACCACTCCGAGCGCTGAACACGAATCGTAACTCCGTGGCCAGGGCAGCTGCGAGTGCAGAGTCGGTGCCAGCGCCTGGCTGCGAGCCGCGGTGCGCATGGCTGAGGGGGGTGGACGTTTGGGGGGCATTGCGGTCAACACTGATGTAGAAGCAGGTAATTCCCACTTGTGCATTTAGGGGAGCCTCGCCAGTGGCACTTGAAGCATCTGCATGTCCACAGACTGCCCTTCCTGTCTACACGCTGCAGGGCTGCTGGCGAAGGCGGGCCCCCGCCCTCCAGCTCGCCCCACACCTTGGGAGGACCGCTGACTGGGCTGCCGCCCACCCCAGCCGCCACTCTGGCCTCGTCGCACGCCGGGCCCACCCCCTCCACCCAAGGCAGGGGCACGCTGGACGATCCCATCCTCGTCGACGAGCTGGAAGGTCGGCAGGGTATGGAGAGATGTCCGCTTGTGAGCGCAAGCACTTGCTGTTTGCCTGCCGACACACGTACCGACTCATACTCTTCTGCCAGCGGTGGCACCTCCCATGCCCGGGATCCCTCGGGTCGGCCAGCAATGCAAACCCCTCGTCTGCCATGAACCCACCGGCATCCCAGGGCCAGGCTGCCCCCGCCCCACCCTTCTCCCGCAGACCCGGAGCCTCGGGCCAGCGCCCCTCGCGGGCACACACCGCCGCCGGACGAGGTCCGCAGCCCTTCCACTGCGCAGCCCACCGGCCACAGCAGCTCTGCAGCCTCCCACCTGGAGCCGGCCACGGGACCGAGCGCTGCAGGCGGCGCGTCGCAGAGTGCCCGCCCGGGCAGCGGCACGGCGGAGCCTGCAGGGACCCCCCCCCGGGTGTCAGTGGGGTCGCGGGCTTCGCCCACGGAGAGGAATTCACCCCCCTGTGCGGCCCCGGCACGGGCGGGAGGCTGGGCGCCCCCGAGCCTGGCCCCACTGGAGGACGAGCTGCTGGACGCCGCCACCCCCACCTTGTCCCAGATCCTGGCGCGGAGGCTCCCGGGGACGGCACCCGGGTGCCCGGACCCTCACGGCACGTCGGGCGCGCTGATGGCCGACGCGGCAGGGGTGAGGGCCGGGTCGGGCGAGGACGATGTGCCCACCCCCCGCCTCGATCACGCGCGAGGCGGGGGCGGGTGGGGCGAGCAGGGGAGGGCCCCCCCGGAGTTTGACATCCTGGGGTGTGAACAGGACTCCTGGGATACCGCGCTACCCCGGCCAGGCGGCGGTGCGGGGCCCAGTGCGCCTGGCGACGCCCCCTTCCGCTACCTGTCCTGGCTGGCCTCCCGTGCTGCCAGTGGTGCGCGGGTCGAGGGGGTTGGCTGGCGCGGCTGAGTGCTGGACGTACCCATGGAGGGGCGCTCTTGCATTCGTGGCCCCTGTCCCCGCGCCACCCTCGCTCCCCGCCAGTGCGGGTCTTCCTGCCCGTCCCACCACGCACCCCGCCACCTCCGCCCCCGTCTACCCCCGCCCCCCCAGGCGCACCCCGGGACTTCCCGCTACGCACCAGCGTCTGGGGCATGGTCCAGCGCACGGTGGGCAAGCTGGCCTTTGCCGATCCCGTCAGCGGCGAGGAACAGGCGAGTCTGGATGCCCTGCAGGGGCCGGGTGTGCCTGCGTGCAGCGATGCGTGCAGCCTTGCCAGGCCCCACTGATGAGCGGGACCTCCTGGCGGATGCCCTGTGCCGACCGCGGGGGCAAGGCCGCCCAGGCAACCAAGGGCCGCTGAACCGCCCCCTGGGGCCGTGCCCTGAGCTGCCCACACCCTCCTCTTCCAGTTCGTGATGGATGTGGTGGTGGAGGACGGGACCATGGCCGTCACCGCTCGCCTGGGCCATCAGTTCATGGCCGACTTCTTCGGTGGGTGGTGCACGAGAGGGCCGAGGAGTGGTGGAGTCGCGTGGGGCAGCGACGCGGTCCGCGTCCTCGTTCAGCAGCCTGTGCTTGCCGACGCACGGCCCGCCCGTCCACCTGCATGCGCAGGGACCTCGCCGTCTGCGTATGAGAGCCTCCTGTCGGACCCGGCATGTCGGGCAGAGGCGGCTGGCCTGGCCAAGGACCTGACAGTCCTGCTGGCGCAGTACTGCGGCCTGATGACAGGCGAGGACTCTGGGGCGCTGAGCGCTGTGCTGAGATGGGCCCGCCTGCTCCACGCTTGTCCTCCTCAAGCTCCCTGAAGGGTGTGATTGCACCGCAAGGACTTGGTTTCGCCGTCCCGTGCAACAAATGCTCAGTCTCGCCCTCACCATCCTCCCATGCACATCCCAACAATCCTCCATCCCTGCTGCAGTCACCCTGTCCTCCAAGGACGGGCCCCTGATCGTGGAGGACCTGCCGGGGCAGCTGTCTGCAGCAGAGGCTGGCCAGCTTCTGGAAAGGAGCGCTGGAAAGGGTGCCCAATCCAGGCACCGGCCACAATGATGCCTCACCAAGTGTGCTCACGACGCAGCCGCAGCAGTTGACTCACGCTCCTCCCTTTGCCTGCCTGAGTGACCCAGCATGAAGTGTACATCAATCAAATGTTCGATCTGGAAACGACTTGAGGAAATCTGTATTCTCAGAACTCAGGATTGAGTGCAAGGGCAACGATGCTGCCACGTGATGCTCCGACCCTCATGTGGGCGATGTTGCCCTTCCTCGATCAACCGAGCATTCTTAGCTCACAGCCATCCCATGATGCCCTTCAAGTAGGACAATCTCACACGAGTGGTACATGGGGAGCATCTCCGTTGCTCCAATGGGAGGGAAGGGTTTCTTTGCCATTCTCAGCGATGGGCACCAGTCTGCAAAACACGTCGCAGCGTCTGGACCGCTCGACACATCAGCCCCTGAGGAAGGCCTTGCCACCCCGTCCAGGCTTCGTGGCCTCCGCGATGGCCTCCTGCACGTCCTCCAGGGAGAAGTGCTTGCCGCCAGGGGGAATGGCCAGAGTGCCCTCCAGCATCCCCTCAAACACCTCACGCACGACCGTGGCCCTCTCCTTCGCTGGGGTCTCGGCCAAGAAGTCTGAGAGCCAGAACCCGCGTACTTTCACGGCTCTGAGGAGGGCGGGGCAGAGGGCGATGCATGTCTTCAAGGCAAGCATGAGAAGCTCGAGGCATGGCATGCAGGCCCCAGCTCCCCAATTAGGCTCCTCCCCAACCCCCTCCAACCCTCCCACCTGAACAGAATGTCGGGGATGCCGGCAGTAAAGGTGAACTCCGCCATGGCGCCGTACACGATCAGGGCCCCTCCATGCCGGAGGCCCTTGACGATGCCAGAGACATCGCCGCCCACACACTCAAAGGCAGCGTCGGCGCCCTCGCCGTCGGTGACCTTCTTGATCTCGGCCTCGACATCCACGCCCTCGCCGGTGACAATCACCGCCGCGGCCCCCAGGCTCAGCAGCTCCTCGCGCAGAGCCTCGCGCCGGACCAGAGCGATGGTCTTCAGACCCTTGTGCTTGGCGTATGTGATGAACATGCGGCCCAGCGCAGAGCCTGCCGCATTGGACACGATCCAGCCGTTCTTGATCAGGTTGTCGGTCTCCAGCGTCTTGACAAACCCATAGACAGTCACGGGGTTGACCTGCAGGGGACGGAAGCAATCTTAACCTGGCATTGGACTCGAATGGGAAGGGCTGGGAGAGTAGGTTGTGCATGGGGCATTGCAATTGGCGACAGGCATGTATGCGGCGTGACAAGTACCTCTTGCCTAACGGCGTCTGTACCAACCCCAGTACAACTCACAAGGAACTGACTGGCCGCCTCATCGCTGAGCCCCTCTGGCACAGGCTGCAGCGCGGCCTCTGGAAGCGTTACATACTGCTGCCACGTGCCATTGCCCGTCTTCGTGGGCCAAGGAGCCGCCACGACGCGCGTCCTGCGATACGGGGCGGTGTGTGGGAACCGCACGTCAGCTACCTTGATCCTTTGGATACAGGGGCCCTGGAGCATCGTCCATGCGGATGCTCTGCACGGCCAATGCCTGTGGAGGACCCGCTGTACAAGCTCGATCTTGGCAGGAGAGCCATCGGGGTGCTCACCCTGGCTCGAAGGCAGTGGCGCCAGGACCGTTTTTCACGACCACGCCTACTCCATCCAATCCCACCACAGCGGGGAGGGAGGCCGGGGTGAAGCCTGGGTAGACACCGCCAATGGAAAAGATGTCGGCGGGATTCACCTGCGTGGGTGGAATCTCCGTGATCAGGGCGGCTTTCTCCCGGACGGAGAGACCGCCACCTTCTCCTCAGCTGCAAACAGCAAGCTCAGTGCAGAAGCCCTGCCTCCCCCCATGCGCATCTCACCGGTCGCAGTGTGATGTTGACCAGGACCTCCCCTTGACTCGGTTCGGGGACGGGCTTCTCCACCACCTTGAAGGTCGAGCCCGGCTTCTCCAAGGTGTAATCCTCGAGGGACAAGACCTTGTTGGACGTTGAATAACTCATTCTGACAGTGTTATTTCGCGAGATGATTTTTTTAATGTTTTGGGTTTACGATGGGTCAGTCGAGTGCGTGCAGGTTATATAAAGCCTGTGCCGGCTTATGTGATCCCCAACGTAAAGTTTCTAGAAAAAAAAACTCAAGTTACCAACAGCAGCATCGTATTCGAAAAGCAATTGGCTCATCTACTGACAGAAAATCACGAACTCCGTGTGCGCATCGCTGCCTTCACTCCGCCTAAGACCCAAGCGTGGCTCGAGGTATGTCTCATCGCCTGGCGTGCCTATAATACCGCCGATCTTCCCGTGATTGCGCTTTGATCACAATGCGTTTATGCGTCATCAATGCATGCCATTATGTGCACAACATCGCCAGCGCATTCGCCGAGCGCATACACTCACGCACAACTCGTCGTCGCCCGAGTTTGCATTCTCATACACGCGTCACTAGTCCCTGGTGTGTAGCTGGGAGGGTTGCTACCATCGCTCATCTCCGCGCAGTGCCGACTCCAAGTAGTAGCTTATGATATTACTATTCCGCTAGAAGCATCAGCGCATGCCAGGAGCACAGGGTCCTGTGTCTTCTCAATGCTTCACCGTGTGCCATGTGTCCATATGCTGCGGGTCCCATCCCGGCTCGATGTCCCCAAGCACTGCCTAACATAGCTCTCTGCATTGCATGGCACATGGGCTGAGCATGCATGCGGCCGTCTATTGTGCCTCATACGCCCACATGCCAGTGTGAGTCCAAGACCTGCCTGGCAGGGCTTGCCGGCATCACTGCAGCCCGAACGCCGACATCGTGCGCTGCTGCACCCGGGCCCGCGCCGCCTCCCGCCGCGCCAGAGCCTCCTGCTCCTGCTTGGGCAGATCCTTTCCTATCGCCTTCTTCGCCTTCAGCTTGTCGGCATGTTTTCTCTACAGGGCGGACAGAGAGGAATAGGGGTTTGGGGGGGCGAATGTCGTCTCTCGGACTTGAAAGGTGCCGCCAGCATGCGTCTTCATGCCCTCCGCTGGCTCCCTGCCCTCGTCCTCCTCTCATCCAATCCCCCTTCCCCACCTGGGCGTCCGTGGCCTTGGCTTCCACCCGGCCCACGCCCTTGGCTCCCCCAATCCGGCCCACGCTGGGCATTGCGTAGCCCCCCACGCCCAGACAGCGGGTGCGCAGCCGCCCTGCCGCTTGCCCTGGCCCCCGCGGCGGAGGCGGCCGCGGGTGGGCCCTGGCCTGGAGTCGGTCGGGGCCGGGTCAGGGGCGGATACATGACCTCGAAGCGGGCTGCGTGCGGTAGCGTGGCAGGGCTGGCCGTCCAGTCGGGGGGGTCGCCGCCATAGTACATCTTGCTGCCCGAGTCATAGTACCACCGGTGCTGCGCGTTGTAGTGTTGCCCCGTCTCGTGGTTGAGCACCCACTCCCCCAGGCTGGCCGCTCGATGGGCCGCCGCCTCGGCGCGGTCCCTGGCAAACTGGGCGGCAGCCTCCTCCTCGATCGCCTTCATCGTCTTGGCGGTCTGGACGGCGGCGGCCTTCTCGTCCACGGCTTTGCGTCGCATCGCGCTCAGTCCTGTGTGCGGGCTCGGGTGGGGGCAGCTGGACCACAGGGTATAACACCAGCCTGGCATGTAGGGGATGTTCTTGGAAGAGGGACGTGACAAGTCAACCCCCCTCCCCGCGCCCCCCCCCCTTTTGACAAATCAACCACGAATCCTCACTCACGTTTGGCCACATTCTCCTGGTGCTTGATGCCCTTCTCGTGCACGGCACGCGACTGAGCCGTGTCCTTGAGCCAGACCTTGCAGTACTCGCACCAGTGATTGGCCTGACTGACCCAAAACTGCACAGGACGGCATGGAGTGTGAGAGGCCGGATTCCTCTGGTGGGCAGAGTCTTCAGCTGCAGGAAGATTAATAAAGGAGGATCCAAACAGCATGCAACATACCTCCGTCATGATGATATCTGGAAAAGAGAGGCCGAAAGACAGATGGGTTTAACGTCAAGATGTCACGAGTGGGGATCTGGGCCCAGCGGGGGAGAGACGAGCTCGAGAAAAACAGTCCTCAGATAGTATCAAGATGGTATGAAAGGATATTCTGAGCTTCTCGAGCTGCCATCATGCCATCTAGAAGTGTTGCCTGCTCCACGTCCCTCGGACACTCCAGGGCTGAAACTCGGCTGCCACATCGGATCGGACACGATGGGGGAGTACACACACTGAAACCCATGTCTGACGGTGAACAGTCTCCAACAACCTTTTTTATTGCCAGGAATCTCTGCATGCCACGCATCACCCTCTGGTGTCTAGCATGTATGCTGTCACACATGTGATCCCCCTGCCCTGTCCCTGTGAAAGGGGGGTTGCCAGAGGTCACAATGTCGGATGGAAGCCCCGGTAGATTAGACACGGAGATACTTGAAGTTATATGTGCAAGGCTGCGCAAGCGAGGTCCTGGTGCGTGGGCTCGTCAGGGGTTCGGCCTAGCAATTGAAGGAGCAGCCCTCTGATACCCAAGCCGCCCACCATCCAATGCAGAGCCCCTTAATCGACTCGGTACTTATTTAAGAAGCAGGGATCTGGTGCCCAGAGGCAGCTTGAAAAAGTATTTGGAGCTACGACCATCAACATTCGCTGTGGAGGAAAGGTGTGATGAGCATCTCCCATGCATAGTGCAGTGCCCCATCTCCCAAGGTCTTCAAACAGCACCAGGAGCAAATGCCTCGCAGGTCCCCGGGCATTTTCAGTGCTCGCCTTGTGACAAGACAGGAGGTGGATGACCCAGCAAGAGGATATCCCCGACAGTCTGGGGCCCAGTCTGCTCCGACAGACCATCCCACCGGGAGAGATTTGCACAGGGCTGGCGACCTGCCCTCGCTACCAGATGAGCTGCTTGTGACAGCTTCAGATGCCAAGCTCATCCCGCCCACTGCATTCAGCACTTCACCAAGACCAGCCTTGCCAGGGTATGTGGTGGGATGTTGATGCTTGGGCTGCTGGAGGGGGAAGCACATGATGGTACTACACGCCATGACGGATGTCCTCCTCATGTTGCCCATGAACAATCACATGCCCCTCCACTCCCGTTATGGGAGCTCTCTCACTTCCCCCTACACTATTTGCCCCATATCGGTTGCAGGGATCCATTGGCAAGGGAGGCGGTGCTGTTCTTGAGCAGTAATAATGGTGCGGCCGCGGTCTCCCAGGTTTCTCAACATGTCAGAGCGGTGGCTCCCCACCTCCTTCCAGGTGGGGACCGGTTCAGGGTATCGTAATTGATGTTCGATTCCCTTTTCCTGGTTCTCTGCTTCAGTATCCATAGTCTACGCTTCGTGCACACACCTGTCCCATCGTCTCCGGACACTGTTGCAGGATCCCGCAGAGCAAGGGATGAGTGGACGAGCCATGACATTTTCTCGCAGTACCCAGCTTGGTTTGAGCTTCACGGTCCGGTGGTGTCCCTCAGGGTCCAGGACACCCAACCATTCCCCAGTCTGGGGGTGTCCACTGGCCCACTGGACCACACTGCACCCAAGTAGAACTTCCCACATTTCGGTGATGGACAACCCTGCTTCTGGCATTGTATACTCCAGGGCCACTGTCTCGATGTATCTGACCTGGGCTTGCTGTTGGGATCATGCTCAATGCATGCGGCCCAGCACAGCCTTCGTAAACTTCAGCTTGCCCATAGTCCATGCTGACGTCATGACGACCCTCGCCAAGCGGATAATGCTTCGTTGTGGAGCCATATGAACCAGGGCGCGTGGAAGGGTACATAATGCTTAATTATTTAGGATGATCGACTCGCCGCGAAGCATTTCGAGGACGGGGTTTTAGTTGAAGGCCGGATCGCGCTCCATGGCGTCCTTCAGGAGCCTCCCCATGCAAGGCAGTATTGGGGCTGCACGACCATACAGTCGTCCACTCCGGATGGCTACTCTGTCTGCGATCAAGCGCACCACCGAGAAGAATGTGGTGTGCATTAAGATGCTGAAGATCCGCGCGGGATCAGAGAAGGCGGTGCTCCGGCTGTGTCACGAGGTGACAGCCTTTTCCAAAGCCCAGCAGAAGACTGGCAGCAGTGGGATCCTAGCATTTGAGTGCTCAGAGGTGTGTCGGGGTGCTGATGGGAGCAGGATGGCCCCCCGTGCAGCGTTCATGTGATGGGCTGGAGAACTGATCTCGTCCCCTGGACCGCCCCGCCCAGGACCCCTTTGATGACCATGCCATCCACTTCTGGGAGCGGTACGAGGGCAACGTGGCTCTGGGCCGGCACAACACCAGCACCCAGGTCCAGTCTTTCATGAAGAAGGTACGGTGATCGTAAATAGTGCACCGGGGGGTCTCGCATCTGTTGCCATGTGTAGATCTCTCGGCCTGGCAAAGCTGCTATCCTGTCGCTGGGCGGCGTGCACACCCAACCATTCACAGAGAATCATTCCCTCTTCTCCAGGTCCAGCCGCACCTGGAGAGCCCCATCGGGATGGCGCTGTACGAGTGGAACGACGGGCAGCTAGGGGCGGTGTGCTTGCAGGGCGGGCCAAAGGGCGAGGGCGGCCTGGATGACGCCACGGGGGCGTCGGGGGCTGCAGGAGGGGCCGGCCTCAAGCAGACATCAGCCACGCTGGACCTCAGTGAGCACTGCCTGGGGCTGTGTGGTGCTGCCTGGACAAATCGCGGGGTCTCGTGCACGTGTCTGGCCATTGCCCCAAGCAATTTCACTCCTGCCATCGCTCGGCCCCTCGCCCACAGCCAACTCTCGGGACAAGGAGGACGACTCACGGGCGGTCTGGGGCCTGGGAAATCTGAAGAAACTGGCAGATGGTAGTTTCAAGCTCCCTTGGCAAAAGTAGGACGGCCCAGCCAGGAGGGTGACTGACTGCGCTGGTCTGGAGCATCGTGCGGGTTTTGGAGTGGCTGACACAGGCTCCGGGGCCTGCGGGAGCTGATTACAACATGCCTTCACAGCTTCCAGGCTTCCATCACTCGGCCATGCCGAGCTCCAGCTGGTGTCACATCATGTGGAAGCGAAGAACCTGCCTGTTGGCCTTGCGCACCCGGCAGAGGATGGTGTTCTTGCCCATTCTCTGGTGTGCCTCGAACCTGTGACAGCCTGAGAAGCCGTAGTATACACCCTCCACCTCCAGCACGTCTATGGGCTCTTGCAGGCCCACCCTCCCGATGGAGGCCATGAGAGCCTCCACCTTTTCGGGGTCTGTAAGCAGGAAAGCGAGGGGGCGAAAACATCAGAACCGTTTCTCAACACCAGCCCCACGTGATCCTGAAATTGTCGGGAAGCAAGTCTTGGGGAGTCCGTAGGTGGAACTCACTGTTTGCTCTTGGGATTGGACGCCTGATGGCCCCGATTGGCAGCTCCTGCACCTGGGGATCCTGAAGGGCTTTGCCTTGCAACCCCCCCTCCAGCACGCTCGCATCCCATCCGAATTTGGCCGCAATGTCCTTTTCAGAGCCGCTTGTCGCCATCACCCGGCGAGACCTGGTCCAGCGAGGCTGAACTGCTCGACGGAAAGGTCGTGCCACAACAACCACACGCACGGCAGCACACCCCAAACCTTGACAAGAGGTGCTCGCAGCTGTGTATTGCATAGTAAAGCACTCTGCGGTTCATATGTTATCCTATGCCTTTCACAAAGCGGCACAAAAGTCGCACATGACTCAGGGTGCTCTTCTTCAGGCGTTTGCGCGTGTTCAGATTCCGGTATGACCCGGAAGGGCATCTACCCTGGTCGGTTTGCGCATGATCCCTTCCGGAGTGTTTGGTAGCATCACACCATGCTTAATGGACCAAGTAAGGATGGGTAGAAATTCCGCTGAGCTTAAAGCATGTCCCTGTCCGTGCCGGTAAGCTCCTTCACTGCGGCAATGGGGGGACGTCGCTGGAGAGCACAATGGGTTCTCATTTATTCCCTGTGTGCCGTCGTGATACTCAAGGTAGGTGCTGGGGAGTTGGGTCGGCCTCAATGTGCTGATGGGTTCATGTACACCCGCGAGCCTGACGCTGCAGCATGTCCCAACTCCGCCGGACGCAGGACGTCGAGGGCACGATGAGCTTCTTCAACTCTCCTTATGACCTGAATCCTGCCTCAGGTCCGAATTGGTACATTTCGACAAATCTTTCTGTGTCTGGAGGGTTGTCGAAGCCTTCCTGTGCTGTCGCCTTCACCCCCTATTCCCTCCAGTGCCGGCACGGCGCGGAGAGTGACCTACAAGTTACTCCAGCCCCCCCACCAGGACAGAGCCTTCCTCATTGTTCCCAACATTACTTCGCAGAGGACGAAGTATTACTGAAATCGCTGCTGTCTGCGGACCAATGCACAATAGATTCCTCCTGTGTGGAGGGTACAGAGATGTTGCAGAAATCTGTGGTGCAGCTCACTCATCCCCTGCAACAAAATTTCTGCTCTGGTAGGGGGTTGTGCGAGGTTCTTCCGGGCGGCTGCTGGTGCCCTTGGTCTAGCATGTTGGCCGCGAAGGGGAGGTGAATAGGTCGTAGCTCCAGCTTATAAGCGACCATTTACCACACGATCATCTTGGGTACATTCACAGCATCGATCTCACTTACTGCTCATGTCTTGGTGGTGTTCCGAGCCCCTCAATGCTGCGAGTTTCCTGCCACTGGGTCCTTGAAGTGTCCCGGCTTGCAACCCCTGTCTCGCCACTCCCACCACAGGAACGCTGCTGAAGGGCCCAGGGGATACAATCTATGTCTTGTCAGCCAGACACTGCATGGCCTTGCTCGGTCGGTACTTTGTGTACCCCTGGAGCAGCTACAGCATCATCTTTGACTATAAGGTCCCCTGCAATGCGTCCAGGGTGGACAACATCACCGCAACGTTTGACCGCTACCTGACGGTGCGCGAGCTTGCCCGGCATGTTGTGATGTCGAGTCTGAGCTCCACACCCCTGCCCACCCCCTAGAAGCCACACAGTGCATTGGCGAAAGGTTTGCCAGACAGGATCAGGCACCGCCACCATGTGCGTGGCTAATTGCCCGCAATAGTGATCGCATGCTCTTCGACGGCCATGATGCACACCCGCAGGGCCTTGCTGTGGTCTTTGCGGATGAATACAGCGACGTGGCCGTCTTTGAGCTGCTCCAGGACATTCCCCCAGAGTGGGGCGCGGTGATGGCTGGTGAGGTGGAAGGGGCCCGCCGAGGGCATTGTGCAGGGAGTGGGCCGATTGGTGTCGGTACGGACGAGCCGCCGTGTTTAGGGTTGTACGACCCCTGTGCACCACCGAACTTCCCCTTGCACCCCATGGCTTTCACCCTCCAGGCCGATCCTCCCCCCCACCACCCCCTCCCTCCATTCCCTGATTAGGCTGGGAAGCTGCCACGCTGGATTACAACTTCACCTACACCACCGTGTCACACCCCCTGGGAGACAGTCAGAAAATTGCAATGGGCAGGTGGGCGCGGAGGCGGGAGTGTGTGGGCAGGAGGGAGGCTCGGCGTCCCTGGACCCCACACTTCGCATGCCGGGGCGCCAGCTGCGGCGCGGTGTGAGGCACGCCCTCACCCCCGCCACGGCCGCGGGGGTGCCCTGCTGCGCCCGGGAGCGCCCGAGCGTGCGCTCCGCTTGGCAAACCCTCCCCCCCGCCCCTCCCCCCGGACCAGGGTGTACGAGCTGTTCTACGGGACCACCATGTATTCACAGAATGACGTGGACCTGGTGAGGAACGTCAGCTGCAACACCCACACCTGCGGCTTCTACTCCTCCGTGGTGGAGGCCGGCTCCATCACTTTTGGCTCCAGCGGCGCCGGCGTGCTCAGCGACGACCTGGGCAAGGTGGTGGGCGTCATGTCGAGCGGCGATGGCGGGCCCTGCCCCCGGCCGTCCGACCCCTACGGCAAGGGCTCCCCCATCTACGTGATAGGGAGCCTGGGAGCGGTGAGTGTGCGACCAGGGTTGACCAGCCAGCCTATGCTCGCATCTGGGGCGGGGGCCCCCGGCCATCGCAACAGGCTCCCGGGGCCGGTGCCTGTCCATGCACTGCTGCGCAGCCTGGGGCTGGACTCGAGCAAGCCCCCCTCCCCTGGCTCTGCAGGCATGGGAGCATGGCTTTCACAGCCTGTACAACCTGAGCCGGGAGGACGAGGGGTCGGCGGAGTACGAGGTCTATACACGCAGCAGGCCCACCATCACCGTGGGAAACGTGGTGCCCGAGGTGTACCCACGCCTCGGACCCACCTCCTGCTCTGTCGCGTGCGTGGAGTCGGGGAGGGTTTTGACACCCTGCTCCGAAGGGGGGGGATCTCTGGGACTGGATGTTCCATCGGGCAAGTGGATGGCAGCCGGGCCCCATGCTCGACGCAGACTGCCAAGCTCTGCCCTGCCGCAGGCTTCATGCACTCCTGGGAGAAGGGTGGCCTCAGGACACCCTTGGGAGGGGGCCACACCTCTTGAAGCCACCACGCACCTGCGTCTCCCCCAGCGCGGCGCCCCGTAATGACCCTTCCCTTTCAACGGCACCCCCCCGCAGGCTGCAGCAGTCGCCGGCGCGCACGACCACGGTTCGAATCGCCGCGGTCCAGCCCTGGCTTGTGCACGTGGTCCCATCCTCCCTGACATTTGACGAGACCAGCTGGCATCAGGAGCAGTTCTTCAACATCACGGCTGGTGAGACCCTGCCTGGTTGCGGTGCTGCCAGTCGAGACGAGGAAGGGGGGCCGGTGGATGCCCGCGCAGTACAGACTCCCGTCCTGCATGATGGCTGCGTGCCAAGCACCTCTTCTCCTCAATAGGCCAGTCGTGCATATCGCCCATGCAGCAGGCGAGCACGCTGGGGATGTCGGGGCGCAGCAATTCGACATCCGGCTGACCTGGGCGGTGAGGACTGACGCCGGTGAATGGGAGGAGCGCACCAAGACGATCTCGTGCGTCAGAGGGGGTTGAGGGGGAAGAGGAGGGGTTTACGTTGGTGCAATGACCTGCCTGATGGCATGGTGCTCCAACCGTGGCACTGGCACCTTCTCTGCAGCTCATGACCGGCCTCCGCCACTCCAGGGGATTCATCTGGCCTGGGCAGCCGGGGACTGGCTTCTTAAATCCATGGAAAATCGAAGTGCCATTCCAAGATGTAGTGGATCTGGATGTGAGCCGGTGGAAAGTGAAAGTGCACTATGTTGCGGTCCCATCCAGTCGGTGCAGAATCACGAGCGTGTGTGTATTTGCTCCTCCGAGGAGTTGCTGTGTGCATCTCGCTCGACTCACTCCGCCTTGCCTCCCCTCTCGTCTTACCACAGACCCTTGGTCCAGATATTCCGCTGGTGACAGAGCGGAATGGACCCTTTGTGCCGGCAGGTTTCTTGGAGTATTATCCTAGGGTGTCAATGGTGAGCACAATCGTCAGGGAGCAGTGCAATGCTGATTTCCTGCCAGACAAGGAGCATGCGCTTGGCTCTGCTTGAGTGATCCAGCGCCTCATCTCTCCTTCCCTCGACCTTCCAATCTCATGGCGATGTAGGGCTTGATCGTTACTACCTGCCTGAACAGCACTGGTCATGGGAGCAGGAGCATCGTCTCCTCCATCTTCTCCGCTGACTGGTCTCTTGACACAGAATTGCCGTGAGTTTGTGCCGGGGTGCCCTGATTGGCAGGGTGTACAAGTTCAGGAGTGACTTCCAAGGCTGCAGAGATGGTGTTGCCCCTCCTGCCACTTTGCGCGGTGTGTCCACTGCTGTTCCATTCTGCATGGGCTTATTGTAGCCAGCACAGGCGACAGACGGATCGTGATGAGTGCAAAGAGACAGTCACCATGCTCCAACAAGACGAGAGTGAGTGCGAATGGTCCGCTAGGGTCGGGAAGTCTGTGTGATCTTGCTTGAGTGAGGTGGACTCGTGGTGAGACCGTCTTGACGCAAATGTCTGACAGTGTGCCAGGCACTTCTGACCCATGGTACCCGCCGGCCCACGCCGCCGGCCTCCACCAATGCTCAACAATGACTCACCGGCCATTCTGGCCTGCTCCTCAACCCCTCCTTGTGACAGCCTACTATATAATTTTCTATCAGCAAACCAATCTCACACTTCCTCACGGGCCTGACACTGGGAGCGTCGCAGCGTCCATCAGCATCTCTGAAGCGTCGCGCTTAGAGGTGCGCGAGCGATGCCTCGACCCTGGTGCCCTGGTTCGTGTATGGTGTTGGTACGCTGCCATCAGGGCACATCACGATGCAGCCCGTGCTGGTCAGCACGAGGTCCAGGCAAAGACCACTCCCCTCACGCACCGCACACTGCAGGTGCTCGCCTACTTTGTCAAGACTCACGACTTGGTGAAAGTCAAGGACCTGCCCTTCAAAGAGAGCTACCTGGTAGGTCGGGAGAATGGCCAGACGATGGGGCCAAGTTTTAAAAGTACTCCATAAGCCTGAGTCACAGCAGTTTCCTGGTGTGCTGTGGCAGCCAACGCCAGTCGGCCCAGGTGCTGTGTCACCGAGTACCTCTGTATTTCCCTGCCCAGGCCACGAGTGTACCCACGGTGTTCTACTACTGTCCGAAGACGGACATTGCCCTCAACATCAAGACCTGCTCCCAAAACACCACCGTGGGTGTGGTGGTGGATGTTTACGACGACAAGCTAGATGCTATCCGGTAAGCCAAGGAGCGGTTGAGAGAGAGCAGGAAGAATCTGTTCTGAACGCCTCTCTGCCATAGACTTGCGGCATGAGTCATCAGGCACGGCTGCATGGCTGCGAGCGCACATCCTATCGTACTGCACATGTGCAGGTCGACAAGTCGAGCGGGACCCAGCATCAGTGTCAACGTATCGGGGGTCGACATGGCAGCTGACAGGGTATATTTGGTGATGGTGTCACCAACCAAAACGGAGGTGAGTAGCTCAAGGGACCGGCCGGTGGTCTGGAATTTCCATCAAGGCCTGCCAGAATTTTGCCAGTGACACTGAGCACCCTCTCACTTCCTGTCTTGATTCGGCACGTGAACGTACAGGCATCTGTGGGGAGGGGCACCCGCCAGTTCTGCCTCACTCTGGAGGAGATGCGCAGCTAGAAGAGCTGCACAATGGCTGTCATGTGGCAAACCTGCCCTAGCTCTGCCTCTGGCCAGGGTCAGTATCCCGAGTTTTGTCCCCTGCCATGCTGCGTCTGCCAACCAGCATTGACATAAATTGTCATGCTCCCACATCTCCAGCTCCTGCCACGCTCTCATGACTTGTGGCCTCTGGAAGAGGAGCTTATCACGTGGCACTGGCACCGCCACCCTAGCACCAGGTGCCCTTTCCAGCAATGTTCTTGCTGTATGTGTAATCGCAGCATAACTTGCGGAACCAAATACTTAGGACGAGCATAACCACGGGTGGGAAGGACATGCCTTGAGCGCGACAACAACAGCATGTTGGCTGAGGCACTACCCCCTTCAATCTTCGAGCTCAGTCCCGACCCATCGAGTAAGGGGAGGTGAGGTGAGCAGCTGAGCCGGGGTTTGAGGACCTCGAAACCGCCTGTCGCAGCCTAATTCCAGTATGCTCCGGCTTTCTGTGGGTTGAAGTATTCTCCGGCCCGTCCGGGGGGGGGGGGCGGAACTTGGACAACTCCTGGGTTCCAGTAGAAGGTTCGTGCCGACACGGGGCCCGATTGGGTGAAATTCCTGAATCCATTTGATATGAACGGTTCCCAGCACCATCATAAGGGATTTCCTGACGAGCTCACGAGAATTTCAGAGGTCCAGAGCTCTGCGTACTTTCTTTCATGCGGAACCTCCGGCGTCCCCCGGACGTCCCCCCGGTCGGCCACCACAAAAAGCGAGAGCTCAAGACTTGCCAAGGGCCTCGCATGCGTCTGATACATATATTTCAACCTAATTTCACCCTAAGTCCTTAAATCCTGCTGAATAAAGACCTGTGGAGTTGCTGACGGAGGAGCTGGCTCCCCCTCCGCGATGGCAGCAGGAGGCAGTACGGGACACAAGCTGGGCTTGCCCCTACTCCTCCTCCTGGGATACGCCTCACTGCTACAGACGGCGGTAAGGTCGCGATTGGGTTGTTGTATCTCACCTTTAGGACGATGCGGAGCTCCTTGCAAGGTTGGCGAAATGCCTCTTACCCCTCACGTCGCAGATGGCTTGTAAATCCACCTTCTTCGCTCTTCCGTCTGCGAGGTAACTTGGGACCAAAATTTGGTATCTTTGCATGTAGCCTTGCACTAACCGATGCCAGGGTCACCTAGTTTGCGATCTTTTCCCGAAGAGCCCGGCCGGGCGTGGCTGCCGGGAGGTGTTCCCACCACTCGTCCAAGTCAGCCCATCTTCTCGTAATGTACAGATCTGGAGAAACAATCTTCCTGCTAACCAGCGACAGCGGCAACAACTTTTGCAAGTAGGATCTGGTGCGAATGTGGATCTTGCCCCCGCTTGCTGGTGCCCTCAGATGGCAAATGTGCAGACGCCAACCAGCTTCTCACCCACCCGACAATTCTTAGGAAGCGGGGCTATGCCAGGGTCGGGACCATGCATACCGGCAATCTCAAGTCCACACGACTGAAGATCGCGGCGGTCAGCCTTGTCAGCCTGAAGACATGCAAGTCTCCTTCCTGCCAGGCACTGATGGCTGTCGAGTGTCTCCCCAAAGGCCAGCCTGCCTGCACGCCGGATTGGATGGGAAACACAGGCGATGGGAACATCGGGTGGCACAACTTTGGGACAGCCAACCAAGGCGATCGGAACTTAGGTCAGTGATATGCTCTGCTGTTGGATTGAACGTGCGGGTGCTGTGACCTGAGGTATGCCTTGCAGCCTCCTGTTCGGATCACCCGGAAAGTGGGATTTGAAGGTGCCGATGTGACACACCGTCTGCCTGAAGAGGTGTGATGCACACCACAGTGACGTGCTCGCCCACACTAATGCGAAGACAGCCATTCGAACCAAAGCCCCTCCGTCCTTGCAGGCAACAAGAACCAAGGAAGCCACAACATTGGCAGCAACAACAAGGGGAATGTTAACATTTGCAACAACCTGTCTGGCGATTCACAGTCCTGCACCCCATCTGATTTGAACAATTCAGACACCATCGTCGTGAGCTTTCCCCCTCCCCCATCCAAGAAGCGGTCTCCTCCACCACCCAGGAAGAGGGCGCCACCACCGCCCAAGGCCAAGTCCCCCCGCCACCAAAGGCCA